TGCATATTAAAGCTGCCTATGAAACTGGATTCCTTTATGACTTAAGAGGCTTCCTTTTTCTGCTTACAGATAGCTTTATTAAATCAAAATGTTCTCATAAATTTTAGAAAACTGACCATTGCCACACCAATCCCTCTACTGAATGTGATCTTTTCCAAATCTTTTGTGTGTAAAATAGCAACTACATGGGCAGCATTCACTTTACAGTAACTATGTTCTGTCTCTGTGCATGTGAAAGTGAAAAGGGAATGAAGGGTTTACTGAATAACTGAATCAGGGTTTATCGTCGTTATCATGGCCTGGCTTCAAAGGCCTTTTCAATACAAGGACCTGGAGATGTATTCCTGTGTATTTCAGTGAGGCGGATGTATAAGAACTCGAAATTGAGCACCTGGCTTCATGGCCAGGACCTTCACCCATCTGAGAGTGATACTGTCCTTGAATATTTTTATGTAATATTTTTCCATCCCCCTTTCTGCGACCTTCTGTTTATGCCAACGGTACCTCTAGGGGCATCATAGGTGCCAAGGGAGTGTGAAATTGGTTTGGCTGGTTAACTGCCCGGCTAATCCAGCAAGTTCCTGTGGAACTCCCCATCAACTCAGAATTGCGTGGCAAAATGATTCAATATTATTCAGAAACATTTATCAGGTGCTGATTTGTTTGGCTTTTTATCATCTTCCCTAGTTTTAAATGTAAACCTAGTTACACTTCTTAATAGAGTATCTGGAGGACATGGTTGACAAGCTGCTACGTGTAGAATCTCTTCTGCATGGTCTGGGCATCCCTTATCGTCTTCTCTAGCTGGATGTGTTTTACTCTTACTTACAACTTACAAGCTCTTCTTGCACACAGTTCTTCATCATGTACCTTAAAAAGACACCGATTAAATATTTCCTCCTCAGTCATTTGTAAGGCACTTCCCAGAAATCATTAGCCTGTAGTTTATATGTAATGACTCTGAGTATGAAAACCCACCTCATCTACACTGCACTGCATGTACTGCATTGATTAGAATAGTTAATATCTGTTTCTCTCTTGGGCAAACTGAACAAGTCTCAGGGAAAAGCTATGGTTACATATTTTATGCCACGTACTCAAGAGACCAATGGAGCACTTAGAGCCTCTTGCTATCCACTTCAGCCAGCCTTTTAACAATCTAAAAATATTGGTCCAGTCACCGAGATGCCAGAAAACTGTACTTTGGTCATTAAAAAAGTAAGAATAATTGATGGTATATAAAACAAACTTCTTACCAATGTCAACATGTGCAATATCAGTATTACAAAAGAGTGCTTTGACTGCAATAACTGGTGGGCTTGGAAAAGCACTGATGCATTCAACTTAAATATATATATATATATACGCACATCATCAACTTAAAGGGACATTTTGTCATGTAGTAAAACAGGATAGAAATAACAATGTAAAATATTATATGTCTAAGTAAGAATTAAGTTCAGCTACATTTCTCTCCTATCTTAGGTTTGGGCACAATTTCTTTATGTGTGATTTTTAGAATTTCTATAATCTACCCAACATGCAAAGTCAACAGCCATAAACACACCCACACTGGATAAGAAAGAACAAATTAACATAAATTCATTCATGTGCAGAGAGGCAAGGACCGACTAATGATCAATAAGATGCAAAGTATGCCGCTGATTATGATTGTGTTTGTAATGAGCATCTCACCTTCGAGTGAGGCTATTTGAGGAAAAAGCCATTTACCTGAAGAGGCCAGGCAGTCATGTGAAAAACTGCTTCACTGAAGCATCTTAACTTGATAGCATCTATGAAAATGGCAGAGTGACATTTGCAGATGCATATTTAAATTTATGTATGCATTTAATCAATAAAAACCCAAAGATCTTGACATCTCGATTCATTCAAACTGTTCAAATGTCAGTATGTACTTCAGTGGGATCTTCAATCATACTTGATTATCTGATGGTTGGAATACAACCATTGTTCTGCTGTCTTTTGGTAAAAACAACCTGGAGAATCAGCTTTTATAATAGATTGAATTACAGCTTTCTGTGCTTGTGTATTCTTGCCTGTTCACATGATGGATTCTATATCTTGTTGAAGTCCCTCTCAATGAGGTCCACTGTAAAGAAAGAAAAGAGATATAGAGAAACCAAATAGAAAGCAGCAACCCTAACTTTTGGAAACTTACAGTTAGACAGATCTAAAGTTCTGGGAACAGACCAGAGAAGACCAAAAAACAAAACAAAGCCATACCAAAAATGTTCAGACCATGAAATCAGCAGTAGTTTACACAAAAAAGACTCCTGAGGAAAGTTGATTCCAACTGTCATATCTTGAAAATGACAGATAATGTGTTCAAGTGGTTAAATTCTTATCTCTGGTCATTAAAATTTTAATATTATAATTAATAATTAATAATTAATATTGTTTCCAATATGACAAAGGAGGCATGAGAAAATCAGCTTTATCCTTCACTTCTATTTGATAACATCCATTAATTTATCATCAAGTCCATTTTGAACAGTAGCTTGGGTCAGGCTGTGTGTTTGTAGTGAAATTCATCTACTGTCAATGTTATAAACTTGGTGAGAAGCAGCTGCTGAAAATCTGTAAACAATCTGTTAAAAAAGGCTACAAAGGGCACACAAATCTTTTTTGGGGAAAAAACAGGAAATACAGACTACAATGAGCAAAGGCTTGTCACACTTTGCAAAAGATGCTCAAAAATGTTATCTGATCTTAGAGCTCTTGATTGCTTTGTTGACAATGAGATGGATTGAACCAATTTTCTAATTGGTTCGATCCATCCTACAGTGTCACAGGACTTTAAGATAGATTATCTTAAGTGAGCTCCCTTTAAACACTAGGTTCCTGGAGTGCTGCTGACCCTGTGTGTGTGCAGTCCTGTTAAAGACTTTCATGTTAGTTACAAACCTTTCTCAAAATCCATAACACACCCATGAGCTAAATGTGCTCATATATTCTCAGCCACCACACCTCAGCGCTAGCGATTATCTGAAAGACATGATGGAACGAGAGAAGGTTCTTCCAGAAGGTGGCAACAGTTACTCATGCGGTCATGCCAGCGTGGACCAAAATCTGTGATGAATGTTCCTGTGTTGGACCTATGCCACAAATGGACGTCCAGCCTGGAACTAGCAAAAGTGTGACTAATGAAGTGTCCGGCTAGTGTACCCTAATCTTTTTTGCTACTCCATCGCTCCCTCTGCTCTGCTGTGTGCACGGCTGATTTTCTGTGCTGGGGCTCAGACATTAGCATGCGGGAGCCATCCCGGCCCCATAGCCCCTATGGTAATTGGAAAGCCGTCAGCATGCCATTGTTTCGATAGAGAGGTCGGAGGAAAGAGAGCTGGAAGAGATGAAGAGTGCAAGAAAAGCAATAGAGATTTGGGCTGAGAAAAAGACAAATAAGGCTTAAAATCACGAAAAGGTAGACAAAAGTATTGAGAACAAAGGGGAAATTGCACGGAAGGCTTGAATTGGTTGAATGAGATAGTTAAAGCTATCAAATGACGAATGCAGTACGCTTGGAGATGGCAGGAGAGTCACAGATTAGGGGAAAAATGCAGCACTGGCAGCAATAATAGTTTTAATGCCTTGGTTCATTATACAATTAAGTTACTTGTTACAGTGAATAAACAAAACATATTTGCAGAGTGAATTTCAGAGAAGGTAACAATCACACAAGCCGTTGCTTCTATTGAATGTATTTGTGATGGATTTACAAGTGTAACATATGTTTTTGATGTCGGTTTTAAAGCTGCTTGACAGAAAGCTTGAACTACGCCTGAGGCAGAATGACGCGGAAAGCAACTTACACAGCACAGAGGTGATGAATGAAAACTAGGCGGAGCTCTGCTGCTGTTGTGCGATGATTCAGTCGCTCGAGAGGAAGAAGGAACGAGAGAATGAAGATGCAGTGTAAAGAGATGTGGAGAAGGAGACAAATAAGAGGGGGCAATGTAAATGAGGCAGAGAGAAGGATGGGATTCAAGTCATTCAACCCCCCCACCCCACCCCACCCACCCCACAGTACACGAACACACACACACAGACACACACATACTCACTCAGCCTGCCTTGGGGAGCCATGGCGCATGCACGCTCTCAGGCAGACAGGCTGGAGGAATTGTGCTCTGAGACCGGAGTGTGTGTGTGTGTATGAGCGATGTCTCAGCGACATGCTGGTGGCGGCGTATGCCACGCTGGTGTAGGTGCGATGTTAGCCGGAGCGGAGGGGGCTGTCTGTGTTAGTGCCCGTGCGCACAGCTAGAATGCACATAGAGAGCTTGTGGTGTGTGAGCGCGAGCGAGCCATCAAAGGGGAGGGGAGCCACGGAGCACAGCAGCAGCAGCAGCAGCAGCAGCATTGCCAGAGTGTGTGTGAGTGTGTGTGTGAATGTATGTGTGAGGGGTGGAGGGGAGAGGGGAGAGGCAGACGCGGTGGGACTCCCGGGAGAGGGAGCGGGAGTTGGGGAGCGGACCTAACCTCTCTCCTCCACAGCAGGAGAACCAGGACCCAAGGACAAGGCAAGATCTGTAGCCCAGCCTGGAGCATCTGGAACTGGAGATGTGCTGGGGATTTCTGCCCATGTCCGGAGGGGACTCATGCCGGAGCCCAAACTCAGGATGTGTTTGACTGAAGGGGGCTTCCTGCCTGACGGACCCGTACAGACAAGGAAATAGTGCTGTTCTTTCCGATGAATTTTTTCTCTCCTACCTCGATTAGGATGCAAGGGACAGAGGAGTAATAGTAGGATAAGGCAAAAGAGAAGGAGAAGGATACTGCCTTTGCTGTTAAGGAAGGAAAAAGGATAATAAGTGGAAGAGGAGAGGAAGAGAGTGGTTGTGAGGAGTATACCCTCCTCTCATGACACTTCTGTGGAACACTGACTGTTGATTGGCAGGTACTTGGACTTGCCTATGAATCCCTCTCTGGCCACCATAACAACCAGGGGGTGTCACCAGGTTGCTGTCCCACTGACGACCATGTCGGTGACCACGGGCTTCAGTTACCAGCTCCCTGGAATCACCACAGTAACCTATGTGTTTGTTTACAGCCCCGGCTCAGTGCAGCGAGACCCCAGCCCACCTCATCACACCCCTCCAGCACTGACAGGCCCCCGTGGGCCCAAAAGGAAACTCTACAGCGCTGTCCCAGGACGAACCTTCATTGTGGTCAAACCATACACACCACAAGGGGACGGAGAGATCCAATTAAACCGGGGAGAGCGGGTGAAAGGTAGGTTATCACACTGTCGTTTGTTGTGCAAGGATGTCTTTGAAATATATATTTTCCATATTTGACCTGCCGTGGCAGTTACCAGTACTCTTCACATCCTTTGTGTCATAACATGGCAGAAACTGTCCATCATCCTCATTGTGTTTAGCATCTGCTTAGAAGTCCAAGACAACCTGTGCCTGACAACCTGAGGGGGGTTAGTTGCAGAAACAAACCTTCCTAAGCCCTCATATGTTTTAGAAACAAAATATACTATTTCCTCTCCACACTGTTGACTGCAAAGCAGTAATGCAGTCTCTCAGCCTGCCAGTCATTTTAGAGGTGCCAGAGCTTGACTCTGAATGACCATTTCATTGACTTTTTAAATGTGCTTTTTCAGCTATTTGCTCTAGCTTTGATTTCATTTGTTTGTGTGTGTGCTTTTGTCTCCATCCATGCTTCACTCAAGACTATGACTGTAATGACGTAGAAGGTAAACTTCATAATATTCCTCTCACCTTGAATCTCTCCCACAGACCTGAGTGTGTCAGTCCTACACCTATAGTACAATGATTAGTTTCCATCCCTGTTAGAGTCCAGTTGAGACATTGGCATGCTTTTACTATAAATCTTTGATGATTTCAAGGAGAGGCAAATTCAAACTGATCCCCTGTGCTTTTGGTTGTTGCTCTGCACACGTATAATGGGCTCTTCCTGCTTCCTGAGAGTGCTTCCTCCCTGAATCCACAACTGCTGTTCTCCCCTCTCTTACCTCTTATCACCTGTCCACAGACACCCAGTTCCTCACTGGCCCCACACCCTACACCTTGCCACTTCACATGCCTCACCAAGGATCAAACCAACATTAGCCTAATGGAAACAGGTCCCTCATGTCCTCAGAATGGTCCGATAAAGTGGAGCTGCACTCATGCTGAGAGACCTCTTTCTTTTCCTTTCAGAAATGCAGAGGGACATGAAATACAGATTGAGGGGTCAGTTTAGAATTTGAATCTGAATTTGGTACGAACAGCTTTAACACACACTTTTTACAGATGTGAAATTAAATTTAGACATCGTCCTTGTTTGCCCACAATCATTTCTATGATACATTGAGGAATAGAGTCATGCAATTTTTAGACAGTGGCTTTGGAAATTTTAATCCACTGATCAAACAGAAACAGTTCCAGCTCTTTCAGCTGTGATGGCACGGATGCTATTACTTTCTTGCAGCTCCATTTCGCACCAGAGATGTTCAGTTATCATAAAATCTGGTGATTGCAGAGGCCAATTGAAGTAATCAACATCACTGTTGGGCTCATTTTGGAAACTTCTTATTAAAGCTCCATAGGAGAGTAAGGTCAATTAAATTTTGTAATACAGTACAGTACTTTAACAGGACCAAAAAATCTCCAGGATAGATCTGCTGAAACCATCACAGACCCTCAACTGTTCTATCTCCAGCTTCTTTTGGTCCTCTCACCTTTGAAAGCTTTTCTGTATTTATTGGGAAAAGCTTTTTTTCAATGCCAGCCTCTGCATTTTGTGGAGGTGCAGTAAACCTTCAACTACTACGATTTGGAGTAGTTTGGAGAGTTTGATAGACTTTGGTTGAGCTCTGCACTCAGTTTAGAAGTTTTAGTAATCAGCACAACATATAGACCAAAGATAGATGGAAATACAGGAAACCACAAATTACCACGCATTTCCCTTTTTCTTACTAAACTGTACACATTTGTATAGCAAAAAAAGCTCCCTCTCCCTTTCCTTGATGGACCCATTTGCATCTCTTCCTTTATGTTTTTGTCCTTCAGCTACTGTGACCTCACAGTCAGTTCTTAGGGGAAACCTCACATGTTCTTTCATGCTACTTTTGTATTTTTGTGTCTGTTCCATAATACACTGCTCCTCTTTGCGACAAAGAACACTAACCCAGAACAACCAAACGGAACACCTCACTTTCCCCTGTTTTTGCTGAGGAAAACTGCATATTACGGCTTTGTCTGAAACTGCGCTGCATACTGATGTTGACACAATCAGAAATGTGATGACTCAACAGCATCATAGTACGCCTCCATCCACGGAATGGATCTGCTGTCACTGACTTTACTGTTTGTACAACTTAATCTATAACCCTGACACTAATATCAACACTTAGTATTTTGCCGTCCTCTCATGTTGGCCATGTGGGAAACAAGCTTACTGTGTGATGACTGCCAGCACTGTGGTCTGGCCAAATTCACCATCTGGCTTTTTTACGCAACACTGACCATCACAGTCATCACTCTGTTGCCTTCACTATACTGCTGTATTTTTAGGATACAAATTAAGAAACGCCTCTTTCAGGTCAGCTGTTTTTTGAGAAGCTTAAAATCCCTGCAGTAGAAATTTTGTTTTGGCAAGTTATTTCTATTTATTTGAAATTATACACAACCAAAGGGGAAGGACCAGGTGTCCTGGTGCACAGAGAGGCTCAGCTAGATACATTATTTGCTTCAGGTTTGAATGACCCTTCACATCAACATTTATAAAATGAGGAGTGTCTAACAGTTTTAGGGTTCTGTTACAATGGGGAGCAGACTTAAAATGATCCCTTCTTATGAGTGTTTTCATAAGATTTTTTACGCATGTGAAGTAAAAAATGAAAATCCCCATTGTTTCCTGAAGCTTACTATGAAACTATTACTGACACAAAATATTTTTATGATTTGATCATGCTTAGATACAGAGGTCCCACCACAAACCCCAAACACAAAACCCCTCTTAACCACTCAACTCTGTTTTCCTCTCCTTGTCTGCACAACCTTTTTAACCAACAGCTGTACCAGAAGAGCATCTCTATGATGAGATCAGACAGGGTAAATCTGACTACTTGTTTGTTTGTGACTGTCTGTGATTAGGATTAGTATCCATGTTTTCAAACAGAAGCATCATCTTAAATGTAATGTCCTCCTCTCTTAGAGGGACAGACTGCAGACCAGTTCAGTTTTTTTTTGCTGTCAAGTGTTTAAAATGCTGTGTTTGAGGACCTTATTTTAATTGGAATTTACTGTAGTCAGCAGTATACCATAACGTATTTTAAGTACAATATCTTTCAATACTGTCTCAAAATTAGAACAAAAACTTTTTTCCCCCTGTTTTTACATCCTTTTTAGTAACAGATGACTATCTGGACACAGATGGTAAATAAAGTGAATCTTTGTATCTGTAGCTCTCGTAGCATAGTAGCACCTAAACCCTCTACTGACCTGACCCCTTCTGACCCATGCCATGCCATTGAACTAATCATCTATCTTAAGAGGACCGCTCTGATCTCTTTGAAGGTTAGTTGGTTTTGCTTGCTGCAAGATCTGAATATCAAAATCTGTGGAATAAGACACTAAATGGAATGGCATTAAATAGTTTTGTTTTAATTGCTTTAAAGTTGACGACCAAATTCGAAGACAGAGTGTCTTCATTAAGCTTAACATTCTTTTGTAGTGTGCAACTACCAACTAAAATTCCAAAGTCTGTGGTGTCCCCCTGCTAGAGGCAGTAGAGCAGTCTGTACTGTGGTGAGAACAACGGATGTTGTTGTAGGATAGTGTTGGAAACTGTAGCCTGTCCATAAGTTAATTTAGATTTAAGCATTGTAGTTTTAGATGTTGCATTTAGAGCACCAAATTCACATTTGTTAACAGTCGTGCATTTATTCATTGAAATACCTTATAGTTTGTTCCCCATTCAGTGAGGATTCTGAAGAATACGCTGACTTTAGTGATGAATATGATGAAGATGAAGGTAAAAGCAGTATTTCTTATTCAAAAGATGTATTACTACTGAGTGATAATTTGCACATCAGTGTTTGCAATTCTGTTGTGAGAATGATACTTTAAGAGAATTTAAGTTGGTTTTGTTGTATCTCACTGTTTTGCGACCCCCCTGATTCATAGATTATTCTGCTTTTTTATTACTGATTTTCTTGCCCTTTTACATTCTTTTTGTGTTCAAATTCAGATAAACATGCTTTAAAGGAATTCATTTGGAAAATCATTCTAATAATCTGCAATGTAGATGAGGTGGAAGAATAAAAGGTCACAAATGGCGCCAAATTTCCACTTTATGTCTTCAAAATAAAAAAGTAACGATGATGTTCAAAATGAGATGACCGGATGAACCTTTTTTTAAGGGTCTTCATTTTCTCTTTATGTGACCAATTTCTGTCCATTTTAAGGGCCTGAAAAGAAAACCTGAATCTTTACTTTGTGATTGTCACGTTGTTTGTTGTCCGCGATCAATGTCTCTGGACAGGCATCCACCCTGCCATCCACTATTTAGAAGGACCATCCACATCTATCTCTCCAAGAAAACTGTTAGTACTAGGTAACGTAATCTGACGGTCCTTCAGTACTTGCTAATTGTAAGCGGACCACAAAACTAGCATGAACTTGGATGATGGTGTGTGTTCGATTATATGTCTGTTTCTGTGATGACCGTAAAAAAAAATGGATGGTTCCAAGATTATAAGATTTTTTGGTCTGCTGGTTTGTACATGCGTGTATTTGATTATATTGTGTGTATGTTTGCACATGAGTGCGGTTGTGTTTGATGATCCTTTTGGTACACTCCATCAATAAGTCCCCAAGGCCCTTTCCCACATCCGGCAGCACCCTTTGTTCATGCTACTTCTCTTACTCACCTCTGTATTTGCTTCAACTCTTCCACCTACATTGATGTAATCTCATCCCATCATCCGGTTTGACATCATTTCAAAGGCCACTTATGGTCACTATGGTAACAAAGAGCTACACTGCCACTGTAACCGGGTCAAGCTCTTTACACACTTGTTCACAAACACACACCTACCCCACTCCAACACCTCCGTCCAAACTTCTAGATGAATATCTTCAAAGTCAAATTAGCATGTGGGGACAAAACATATTTAAAGCTGCAGATACGTATGTCAGCATGCTGCACCCTCATTTCCCCATAAGAGGCATTAACTGGATGTTCAGGACATTTTTTTTCCTAAACAAGGTGGCATACTTGTGAGCATGCTTCCATAACAGTGTGTTACATCTCCTGTGCGTGCATGCACACACCCCATACACCCTCTCCAAACGCCATTATAAATCTTGCAGACAGCCATGAAAATGAAACCAGTGCAAGTAATGTTGAGATTAGACATTCACAAACATGATTAATGGGCTTTGGCTTCACCCTGTGTGTGTAGAATATTAACACTGCTCTGGGCAATGGAGGATACCTGGAAAAGCTAAAGGGACATACGTACACAAAGATACACCCACATACTGGTTTTAATAGGTAGCTCCGAGTCTACCTTGAGACAGGCTCAGGAAGCATCTGTTACTACATTTGTGATCTCTGTGCAGACAAATTGCTCAGGCAATCACTTAAGCAGGTACACTGAGCAGAGGGACGAAACTACAAAACTCATTTGTAGAATGTGTGATTGTCCCAGATATGTACTTTCTGAACAGGAGTCATATCTGTACCACTCTGTGCATCATGGACTGGGCTGAAAGCCTGTATCTCTTGAAAATTAAATAGATCACACAATATTGTCTATTTTCGATCACATAAATTACCATTAACACTAAACACACATTCAGCCGTCCGTTACCAAGCAACAGGTGCTAAGTGTTTTTAAACGCTCTGACATGTCATTTGATCCAATTATTCTTTGAGTAAATTATGCCTCTTGTGATTTAAAAAAAAAAAACTTTTCATTCTGGCAAAAATGTCCTTTTAACCTATAAACTTAAAGTGCTTCATTTTTTGATAAATATTCCAGTTATATTTTCTTTGCACATAACTTCAGTTTAATTTGATGATAGGCTCCAGTCTAACTGTTGAATTTGGTCTAAATTTCATCATTAAATTCCCACAGTGAGCTTGGGGAGAGTTAATTAGATTTGATCTATGCGCTATAGTTACATTAGGGAGGCTATGTATGTGCCAGTGTGTTTCTGTTAATGTGCACACAGCAGCATCTCTCTGTTAGTGTTTGCATCGTGAAGCGTGCATGGTGCACACCTTTGTGTGTAAATGTCTATGTCTCTCTGTGTGGCTGCCTTTGTGAAACACAGTGTAAGTAATTGCCTCCCACAAGTTAGATAAACCGCATCCGTCATGTATTCAGCAACCAGCTGTCCTAATATCCGAGACACACGGAGTAGAAAAGCCTTCTCTCTCTTCCTCTGTCCCTTTTCTACTGTTCTGTACCTTTCTGTTATTCTCCTTGCTGTAACTGTTCACGCACACCTGCAAATACACAATATACAAGAACACGTATGTCACAATGAGCTGTGAATATACATGATGCCTGCCTATCCTTTAGTTTTTGTGTTTTTTGAGGTTAACAATATCTGAGTTTCACTGCATTTTCCAAAAAAAGGAAAACATTCATACTGGTGTGTTTTGTGCATTTAAAGCTATATGTGCACACTTACTCTACAAATTTGCATGCTCTGAAGCCAATTTACCATTAGGCGTACGTTTTTAGCCCATATAGCTGGTGGACTTTCATTCTCTTATAAAAGTACAAAGCAGGGAAACAGTTAAGCTGGTTATTTAGCTTTGGTGAGAGTGATCTAACTTGTGGTACATCTAAATGGACCTTAGATATGAGTTTATGGATTATTTTCTGTTTGTTCTATAATGCCAGGGGAAAGTGTAATGCATCTCATTTTGTCAGAGGTCTCATCTTTTATTCATAGTATTGCATAAGATAAATTTGAAAGTCAGTATTAAAAACGTCAGAGGGCAAGTATTACGATATTATGATATTGATTTTTAAAACAATATTTCCCTTTGACCCTTTTTGTAATGAAAGATCAACTTGAACCATTGGTGACCAAGAGTCCCACAATCTGGATGTATGTGGAATTTACTGTCACATATTAGAAAGAAGAAGGACACTTCCATTTGTCTTCTGAGATTCTACTCTTCTATTCACATCCGCTCTGTGGATATTGAAAGCTAAATCAAAAATGGATTTGCATAAGAAGCTAAATTTGTCTGTACCCACAAGGATGGGATAAGCTATAAACATTTTCTTCCAGTTTTAAAGAAAAGCCAAAAATCAAAAATATCTACAAGGCACAAGGCACATAAAGATATTGGATCAAATAATGCTGCACATGAGTCGTTGCGGCAGGCACAGTTTGTGGATACTTGCAATTTGTGTGCTTCTATTCATATCACGAAAGCTGCAAAAACATGGAAGAATGGCATTACTCTTCATCCTGCAGGCAGAGTTGGTACACAATTTAATACAAGCTCAACTTTCAGAGATAATTAATCTAGGTGATTATTTTTCATGGGGCCGCAGACATCAGCCTGCACATCGCGACTGAGAATGAGCTGCTGGCAGACTGGCAGGGAAAAAAAGAGAAAAACTGATCTATTCAATCCCTTTTAAACCTTGAGTTGTTCCTGCCGGATACATGAAACATGACATTTCTTAAATGTATGTTTCAGTAAGAAAAATAAAGAAAATGCAACAGTTTCTTTGAGAGTGAGAGTCCATTCAGGTGTTCCCATCATTCATATACACAGCTTTATACTCATAAATACTAGAACAGTGTGTTATTTCAGGAACATTTGAAGATGAATCCGTTACAGTTCACATCCAATGGCCCTTAGGAGCAATTAACGTGATCACAAAATGAACGTCATCAGCCTGTTAAGAAATTTCTCTCATTAGTCATTCATAATGTTCCAAGCTGTGCGTGTGTTATTGATTCTGGACAGGGTCACAAGCCTAAGGGAAGGACATTGCTGTCCAATCAGAGCAGCAGCAGGGTGCAAAGCCCTGCTCACAGACCTACCTGCTCCATGCTGACCACACCACCTGTCCACCTATTACACCCTCATCCCTTGTTTCTCATCATTCTCTCTTTTCAGTTTGTTTCTTTCCAAACATCCCATATGGTACACCCTGAATCGTCCCACGTTTAGCTTCTCATTGAAATGAAACCCTGGGCTCGCATAACATACATCTAACTTACTGAGGTGTTGGCTCAAACAAAATGCTCATTAGAAACACAGCAGAAACAGCAGTTGCAAAGGTAATCAGCGTATGAATAAACATGAACAGGAACACAGTTGCATAAACAGGAGCCACTGGCTGATGTAGATACATATTCAACAGAACCACTGATTTGATTTTGGCTAACAATTGCTCCAGCATGTATAATGTGATGCACACTTTTTGACCTGGACTAACTCCAGATGGTTGTTGGCAACAGGCATTTTTTGCCCTGTGCCGTAACAGTTATCTTTTCTGTCATGCATGTGGCAAGGTCAGGTCCTTTCCCGGTGCTGTCAAATGGAGTAGCTTTTGGTCAATTTGAAATGTCATGTGTCCTGACCTGTTCTCACAAATGAAGGTTGTTTTACGGCTACATATACAACTTTTAATCTTTTTTCTTTATATGAAAAATGTATTACATTTGAACAGCAGTCTCCATCATGAGGAGATATGTTAGCCTAGCTGTCACATTGAATGGAAAATCAGAAATGTGGTTGCATGTACCAAGCACTTCTATACTTTGACACAGTATTTCTCGTTATCGTGCCCAAATGAGGAAATTTATTTTAGCAAGACAAGCTGGCTTTGTGATATAGAGAGGAGGTCTAAAGGTTTCTTACCTACTTACAATTAATAGAACGTGTTTCAGAATGTGTTCATTCAGTATTCACAATGAGTTCATTCGTTAAAAAATATGATAAAACCTCTTTAAGTAAAGAGTCTAAAACATGTTTAGATCAACTGGCAGCTAATTTCGAATGAGTGCTAATGAGACATTCAACAAACAACATTGTGTTTCTGATCATGTCTGCCTACCACCTGACCTCGCATGTAGTCTTAATTAGCAAGGGGCATTCATGTCATGTCATTTTGTGTTGCTTGGGCATTGGTCAGCTCATTACATCATGCTCATTTACAGAGCATCAACCCCCTCATTTATATGCACCCTCAAGTAGTCCCTCAGACAATCAGCTGTGTGTTTACATTTCAGCAACACACAATATAGCCCATCTAATGATATTTAACAGAATGTAACTTTTTTACCAGTCATTGGCAGACTTACGTTTAAAAAAAAAAGGGCACTTCATATTTCTTTTTATCCTGCCAGTCATTGATAAAATGTGATTTTCTCCTTTTTGTGACATTGATCAAGGCCCCACATTGAAGTTAAAATAATAATTGGAAAGTTGGACCGTGCTACTTTTATTTTGAAAGAAAGAACGTGAGTAACATTCTCCCTTTAACGTATCTCCCCCTATAACGTAACTCCCTTTGAGCCTTGTAAGATTGCAGATATGGGAGGAGATGAGATGAGAAGTGAAGAGGGATCCCTCTGAGTCAGCCTTGGAGTTTTCCACCCTCCTCTCCTCTTTCTCCTCCTCCTCCACCCACTGTAATTTACACCGCTCCAACCCTACTCCCTTTTCTTCTTTTTGAAGGCTTCCTACCTTTGTTCCTCTCTTTCCTCTAATGGTGTCGTCATTCACAAAAAACTTGCCAGGCCTTTATTTCCTTCATGTTTTCTTTTTTTCCTTTTTTTTTAGCATTCCTTCAGGTTTTCTGCTTTGTTCTTTCTTTGTGCTTTCGCTCAGTGGAATATTGATGTGCCAGTGGTTGCACCACTCCCTCACCCTCTTCTAAGCCGTGGAAGTCCTGTGAGGACAAGCATATAGGAATCCCTGACACATATTTGATTCAGAGCCGTGTGACTGTCCCTCTTCCCTGCTATTTATTAGGTCTTTACTTGATTCAGTCTTTTATCTTCTCTGGAGTCCACTTGCCCTTTTCCACACCGCCCCCCTAATTGCTTGTCACCGCAGTTCTTTTTCCAATGTCCTTCTTCTCCTTTTTTTCATTAAACTTAATTTCCCATCCCCTGTTGTATTAATGCATACCCTTGCCTCAAGTTTGAATAACATGTCTTGTCGTATGTTTCTAAATCTTCACACTTACAGGTGCTGCCTCCTTTTTGTTGCTGCACATTAATATGTTCTCATTTTGTCTGCGATGACCTGTTGACAGCAAGTCCTCCTTGCTTTTTTTCTTTTCTTTTCGTGAGCCTGTGTTTGTCTGTCTGCATGTGTAACAGTGTGTAGTCGTGTACTTTTCCACGTCTCTGGTTACGTGCCACTTGTTTCATAAAGAATGCTGCTCTCTTTCCATTACACTGAATTGAGCTGAGGTTTAATAAAGACTGTGGGGATCCAAATCTAATAACAGCAGCACTCTGCTTATTGGAATGCTCTCACTCACCTTCACACACTTCGTTTCAAGCACACACTCACACACATACTTAGACTCTGCTATGCATGTTCATTTATATACAGCCGTATTTGGAAAGAGCAAACTCAGCAGTTGCCTTTTGTTGGGGGTTGAGACATTACTTCGAGGTTGTGCACTTTATTTGTTAATTTTACTATACGATCTACAGTAAAAATTTGTCCCTATTTTATATCTATTTCATTTCCTATTAGCATAGTTTCTTTTAACTGTTAGAAGTTTAAGTTTCTGTCTCACACTTGGCAATGGATGTAAATAGATGGTTGTTGCTTTTTTTGCTTGAGATACAAGGCAGAGTAGTTGAGCACTGCTCATAAAGTGAACAGCAGGGAGCAGCAACAGAATGATGACACAACGGCAATAGCTTTAATTCACTAGAAGGCTTGTGGTCAATTTCATAATATCGATGAGTCTGTAAGCAATTTCCCTCAAAGATGCTGCTCTGTGTATCTGTGTACAATGTAAAGGCAAAATGTGCCAGATAATTACTTTTGTTTAAATATGTAACTTCACTAAAATATCTTTCCAAGGTCTGGAGAAATAAGTGGGAAAATGAGAGTGATAGATACCCTTCTTAATGAAAAGTTGAGGAGTCTAATTGATCTGGAAAGATTTATCTTTTCCAGCATTTAGGGGTTGTGTAATTGCACGAGCCAGTAAATCATAACCCAATGTGCTGCTTAGTGCTAAACACACCACAGTTCAATGCATTTTCATACAAATGTGCTAATAGCAAAAACCCTGCCATGATGTGTTGTCAAAATCCAACATGTACTGTGGCTTTGGCAAACGCCATTTTGGCCATGGCAAACTGCCTCTGGCTTTTCTGCCTGAATAAGAGCGAGTGCATCAGTGGCGAAAAGCCAGAATCCTCTAACAGCACAGCTGCATCCTTTGTCTGTGTCTTCAGGCCAATAGGCGAGTTTGAGGCATTCACTGTTGCTGAAGAATTAAACAATTGTTGAAGTTTGAAAAATTTTGTTTTTTTCATTACAACCTGTCATTAATGCATCGGTGACCATTGCCCTCATGAGAACCTGCATGCAATTGTATGTAGTGGCTTGTGTACGTAGAAACAGATACCATGAAGGAAAAGAAAATGGATGAATGACTCGGCCTAAAGAAATGGAACGAATAGAGGAGCTCAAAGACTCGTCAAACACACAGCCATAATTACAAACACTCATACAGGGATTTGTTTAAGCAAGCAGGCAGGGCGTGTGAGGAGTATAAATAGCTCTGCATCCTCACTGTTGCTATTTTTAAACCAAGAGTCGTGACTGACTTAACCAAGGGCAAGACGGAGAAGTAACACACACCCATACACAGACAGAGAGAGCAATACTGTACAAGACTTTTCACCAGACAGCAGTCTGGCGTCTATTGAAGCGTCGCTCTTTCCATTTGTCAGCTTGTGTCTGTCTTTGACTGGCTCTCATCTCTCTTTGTCAGTACTGAATGCAGGCCTCTTCCTGTCACTTTCCGTCTCTTTTATCTCATTCTCGGGGCCCCACTGTAATGCTCCCATTCTTTCTGATCAAACCCTGTACTTAATTTGTGTGATCTGTCACATAATAGCCATTGCACATGATGAACAATCAATTTAGGATAATGCTGAGTTTCTACAAGGCCCCGAGTTATGTTCAGTCAGGTGTTTTACTACATAATCACATAAAGCTGAATAAAAAAGTGCAACCTAACAAACTTTGCTCCCGTCCAAGGTCATTGTTTTAATTTCATGGGTGCTTTTTAAAAAAGGGACCAATAGATGACTGTCATAATCAGTGTTCTGGACATAGTTTCACAATATAAAAAAGACTATTGTAAAATTATTATATGAGTGGCTTTCACATAATAAAGTACACCCAGAAGCCCTGGCCAAGTATAGACTGTGTGCATTACACTTCTGAAAAGAAAAGGAACCTTGAAATTACTCTACAAGAGCCTTTTCTATGTAATCAACGCTGTTTTCATCTTTATGTTTGAGAGCATGCCAACACATGTTGAGCCATTGTTTACTGTAGTTCTCCTGTGGAGATAATTACGTCTCTGCGTGGCAGGTCACAGGCCGTCCTGTAAAAATTGCATCCAGCCGAGGTGTTGATTGCCACGTGTAATGAGCTGCTATTTGGCTGACCCTAGAAAGACACTGATAGAAAGCAGAGCATACGGTAAAATGTATTCGCATTACCAAAATAACAGTGCGGCGAAATGAAAAACGAAAGGAAAAAAAAATGGCAGTGACAACAAAGCTGTTTCGTTGGACATTAGTATCAACACAACACACATATCCTAGGCCATCAGATATGCACTGTTTGAATGGAATCATGTAGCTTGTCTCCTTTGAACCCAGATCTGACTCACAGGGGGATATGTGCCAGTGTTGGCAAGCCATGAAATGGAGAGGCAGTGAGAGGTAGTGGCAGGACATTTGCAGAGTGCACAAGCTTGCCTTTTTGCTGAGGACACATAGAACACAATATTAAAAGAGTAAAGAGTGCAATATTTTCCTTGTACAAACACATTTCCTGAAAGAAAATGGGTAACCTTGGGATCAGGGTTCAAAACAGTTTTGTTAATTTGTTTCTTATTTTTGTATTTCAGATCTTAGAGTGCTTTGCATGTGAGTCAGCATAAATGTGGAAGTTAGTGCTCCGCATCATCCAAGCAATGTCTTTAATCTCAACGTGTCGATTTTTGCTTGTGTCTTCAAATAATCAGCGATTGATAGAACACACTTTGTAAGGTGATATTATCAGGGACCAGAAATGCATTAGCAAGGGAAGGATGTGCTAGGTATACTGAGCAAGTGCAGCCTTGAGGATCAATCAGAGGCCTCACCTTCTCTTTCATTTCTGCCTTTGGGAAACAGAGTACAGCCAAAATCTGTATAGTGCAGACACTCCTCCACTGTATAGACTGACATAATGACAGAGACAAAGGAGGAGAGGGTGGCAGTGACTAGAAAATCGTTCCAAACCACAGTGTGAGGACAAAAGACTTGCGTAGCGGAGAGAAGCAGGGGCAAAGAAACTCAAGGAGTATGCTCCCAGGAGACAGGTTGGGTAAAGTTGTGTTAAGCTGAGATGAGAGAAGGGGATCAGCCTGTGTGTTCTCCATGGCTCGGTTTCAGCACGGAGTCAATAAGCAGCCATTCTCCATTTTCATTGTGTGTCCGGCCTGGTGGAGACACGCTGTGCAATACTTAGCCTGTTATCCAAGTGGAACTAAATGAACTAAATGAGGAACTTTTCTGAATTCTACAGCAGCCGTAGTACACAGTGTTTGTTGGATAAGCTGTCGGCTTTATTACTTGAAATGTCCAATCAAAATTTCAGTCAGTGTTTTGCACCATGCATGTGACTTTGATAAAAAAGATTAGGCAATAATTCGACCATAAAAGTTGACAGAACAGAATCCAGGCAAGGCAAACTGAAAAAGTGCTACTTGAGGTTAATATTTGAAGTGTATAAACTGTTATTAGCATGACTCATCAAAAAGATGTTCCGAATCTAACTACGCTGTGTTTGATGGGATGTATTCGGCCTTGAATTGCAGGGGAAATTGGCACAGGGCACCATGTGGGTACATGTCTTTTGAAAATATTGTAAATGTTTGTGGGTATACCAAGCAGAGCTGCATGAAGATGAGGTCAAAGCCGGCTGTATTTTATAGTACCTCAGATTACATCACCATGACCTGTCCCTATGCCAGAGTGAAATACAGTTTTGAGGAAGTAGAGTACATCATTTAACAGCCTGTCTGCCAGCTGCAACATCACACTGGCGTAACCTAGCAACCAGTTTAGAAGAGGGCTCACTCAGGCAAAGCCTCAATTCCAGCTGGTGATCTCTGAGGAGTGTGTGTGGCTGTGTGTGTTGCTGTGTCCGTTAGCTGGCTTGGATAATAGATGAGTGTTGTAGAAATGAACGTGCTGGCTCAGTCCTACAAGGAAAATCAATATCAACTATACATTCATTTCTAATTACTACAGCAGAAGTTCGAAGGAATCTCTCCCTCTCATCCGCTTGCTTTTCTTCAGCCTTTTATCTTTTCTTACTCTTTTTCAGTTTTCCCCTGCAGTATAAATTTATTTCCCTAACTTCAAACCTTTTCCTGTTTCATTTTGAATTTTTTATTTTAAAATGGTCGACTTAATGAAATAAACAGAAATGTTTGGAATAGGCTTGTCTCAATCGAAAAGTGAACACCGATTTTTTCCGCTTTGCGGTTTTTCCTGTTTTATTTCAATACACCTTGTGTATGTATTTATAAAAGTGAGTCTTTTTCAGTTGTCCTTAATTCCATTCACCCTTTTTTTCCACTCAGTTATATAATGTATGAATTAATAACATGAAGCACTACTCTGTCGCCCTCTATCCTTTTTACTATGCTTTTTGGTAATCTTCTCAACACTCCACAGACTCCAATGCTTTTGCATTAATAACAGTACGGCTCGTCTCATGAAAGTATTTGACTGATCAGGACCCTCTTCTTTCTCTCTGGCAGTGCTGAGCATTGGGGAAGGAGGATTCTGGGAAGGCACAGTCAAAGGGCGAACGGGCTGGTTCCCAGCAGACTGTGTGGAAGAAGTTCAGATGAGGCACTATGACCCACGGCTAGGTAAGACGTCCAGATGCAGTGACACTTGGACATTTACGCTATGCACTCAGAAAGCTGACAAGTTCTGATCTCACTGCGATTCTTCACCTCCCAGTTTTTCTGAGCTCTGTTCGTCCTGTTTATCTCACAACTGCAGTCATCATACCTGAACACACATCTCTAAGGGTTGAATATTGAACCAAATCTAAAAGAAAATCAATTAGTGGACAAACATTTTTAATATAGTTTTAAAAACTTTTAAAATCTCTCCCTCCAGCAAAGTTTAGAAGTTGTGCAAATTAATTGAGGACGAGTTATACTTGAAATAAATATTTTTCCCCCCGATTAATTGATTAATAAAGTAATTTAACATAATTAAGCATAATTTAGGTATTTACTACAAATTTGCATCCTTCATTCAAATTAAGGAAAGCCCTGCAGTATTAACTACATTCAAAACAGTGTTTAGAAAAAGGAACATTTTAAATTAATAACTAAGAGTGATAACAGAGAGGAGAAAGAAAACAAGAAAAATCTGCCCAAAAAAATATTTTTTTGTCCCTTCCATCTGGGCCCTTCACATGCTCAAGACCAAATCAGAATCCACCAAAAATGTCAAACAACAGTGTAATGAGACAATAGGACTGTGTCTTTTTACAAACACAGCAACAAAAGGGTTCAACTACACAGTCATAACCATATGTCCATAGGTCGATCCAATAGAACTAAGTCTAATTTTCATCTGACTGAATTTCACAAAAGTATATAGAGAATTAATCTGATTTTACATGATAAAGGTCCTTTTGCAAACTCAAAAGCTCAGAAGTCAGTGATGTGCTGTTTTCATTATACATCTGCAATGCTGTATCTTAGATATTTACAGAATTACCTCCAAATGATACCTTTGTAAAAATACATAATAACAACAAAGCAACCCAGTAACATTAATGCTTCCTGCTTCCTGCTTCATTAGCTGACATTTGCCTACAGTGGTGACCGCTGACTGCATTGAGTTTCCCACCATGCTTTTAGGGGCACTTCATTAGAACCTAATTAAATGCAGGTGCACTGAAAAGGTCGACCACTTTACCTGTGTTGAGAGCATGTAGACCGAGCATGCAGTAGGTGGCATTTTAAGAAAAAAGGATTCACAATCAAAGAGCCACTAAATGTCAAGATAAGTTTTTTAGAATTCTGTGAAAAAAGAAATAATTACTATTAAGTGTGTTGTTTTAGATGTAGAAGACTCACTGAGTGCCGTTATCACTGAAATAAAATAGAAACTCAGTTAAACACATGTTAGCATTTTCTATAAGTGAAATTTAAAAATATATCTTTACTTAATGAAATTGTTGACCCCCCTATACGTGTAGGATTTTAGTCATTCAAATATCTGAAGAGATATTTGTTGCGATGCTTTCATTTTCTCTTTGAAATAGTCCATAGATTTTCCGATTGATTGCAGTCTATCAACACACTCAATGAAGTCAACACTGAGTAAAACTTGGTTTTGGTAATCTTTGTTTCTGTGTGGTTTTGTTTATGTGCTTTTTAATAATTAGTATAGCTCCATATCATCACCCTGTAACCTCTTTGCTCTCGGGTCCTGTCCACGGTTATAGCAAATATGCAGGATCCCCCTTCATAACTAAAGACAAACAAATACGTGGGTCCCAAAATTCATTCTTGTCATGTTCTTCATGAAAGTTTAATATAGTTGTTTTATCTAGAAAATTGAGCAACTGATACTATTTATTGTATTTCAGTCAGAGAAGTTGACCTTATTCAGTTTATCTAAGCCATCACTAAACCTCTGATTTCCACTGATAACACCATAAGCTGACTCTGAAATCCTCACCTGTTTTCCTCATTACATTTTTTCAATGGCATATTCTGTGATTGATTTTTGGACAGTAGCTGTTGCTCTGATTACGGATGCTGTGACTCAGCTTGTACTTCATGATTACTGCTGGAAAAGGCTGATTTGAAGTCCATCATTGATCTGCCTTTGACCTTGTATGTTTTCCTGAAGTCTTACAATCACATCCTATATTCCTCATCCATGTGGAGGGAAGGCATGTTGAAGAAAAGCAGATGTAGTTCTAAAAGTTATATAAGTATGTTGTATTCATACTATAAGGGCTTTTTTTATTGCTGAAGGAGCTTAGTGACACCCTGTTTCTTTTTTCGATATTCACGTAAATTACTTAATCAAATATAAAAGTAGACATGTTGCTGTCACTACTGAATTTTTTTCAGCGTTACTCTTTCTTTTTTTTTACCATGATGTACCTGTAATACATTTTAATGCAAACATTGTAAATAATAGAGTTCATCAGACCAATGTTCAAAACTGCTTATGATTCAATTAACAAATGGCACATTCTGTTCTCATCTCAAGAACACAACTGACAGAAATAAACTCTAATCCATCTTAAATAAGTGTCCATAAAACTATCAGATCGTACCCTGAAATAGTTTAATATGGCAGCATAAGCCTCTGCATTTTCTCTCAGGAAAAGCATTCATCTCCTGCCGTGTTTTCCAGACATCTTGCTGTGCCTATTTTTGTAACAGCCAGGGCATTTTCCCGGTTCAAAGCATTGTTGAGCAATTGGGGTTACCTCAGAGTAGGTTTGAAGAGAGGAGAATGGCCGGAATCTCTAAATATCCCATTTAAATGCATTGTGAGGGAAAGATAGGGAAAGGTGGGAAAGAAAAGGACAGATAGCGAGGGAGACAGATGGTGGAGCATACTTTAAGAGATAGCAAAACGGAGATGGCAGTTAAAGGGAAAAAGAAAGAGGGATGGAAGGAGATTGTTTCAATATCAGGGCCCACTCTTATAAATCCTGAAAAACTAAACCCTCTTGTCTTTTTTGTGATTTGAAGTGTTGATCATCCCATTTACTATTGTCTTTTTTTTCTTATACTTCATTCATTTTTATTACAAAAATACATACATAATAAGATCAGAAAAGCATGGAACAAGCAACTTTGCGATGAAACTAAAAACCAGTTGGAATCTATGCATGTGGATTGTTTAGGAACCTCTGCCAAGTGGAAAACATTTATACATACCGTAAATTGTGAAATGTGCTAATAGAAATATTGCACTGCATCAAGGTTGCCCATGACAGTGGATCCATCCACTGGTTGTGCCCAGCAGATGTAGACCAGCGTTAAAACCAAGCCACAACGCTTCCTGAGCAGTCCCAGCACACATTGCAAATCCCTCTCAGACTTGCAATCCTTATGCACAGATTTCTTTGTAGTTATTTATTTACTCTCCTGGTGGCAGTTGCCTGGCTCTGCACGTGGCCTCACTGTAAGATGGTTCCTGGTTTGAATCCAGACTTGACCTGGATTGGAGGTTGGATGTTCTCACTATGAATGCATGAGTCTACTCTAGATACTCCGGCTTCCTCCCCCTGTCCAAAACATGTTAGATTTGTTATTTGGTTGTATCTTTGTATCTGCCGCTAGGAAATTGATGGATGGAATGGGATAAAAGAATAGGGGATCATATGCTACAGCCCCAACATACCAATTTCTGAATCTACTGATGCATCTAAAAGCTAATCTTGTATTCATCTCAACACTCATCAGTAGTGATACAACAGCAGTACAGCACAGGATAATGAAGTAACAAACCACACACTTATACACACTCAGAGTTGTGTATCTCATTGAAGCTCGTCATTGAAGCATTACTGACAGTGAGGGCAATATGTCTCAGCTTGGTCAAGCAAGAAAAACAGTCCAGTTTACGATTAAGTTAACCAAATACCGTTGAGCATGTTCTCTTTTTCCCGCTACCCGTCTGTACTGCTGTACATCACCCGTGAGTCATGCCGCTGAAAGCGGTATCTCTTTTTATCTATCTCGTGCCCCAGTGTCGTCTCTGCTAGGTTTAAAAGAGCAACGATGGCAGACTGGAAAAGCAAAAAATAGATGGTGTGACTACAAAAAAGCAGATTCTGTCAGAGGGACACAAAATGAGACAGACAAAGAAAGGGAGCAGGTGACCATGTGAAAGGGGCAGTTTAAGCCATCACTGATTCTTTGGCTGTTATCTGTCACCGCTCTGCTCCTCTCTCAGCGCAGGCAGAGCTGCCTACGGCCTGCAGTTCATCTGCAGCCAGAGCTCGAGGGGACATGCAGGAAGAGGTGAGGCGAAGCCATAAGAAAAAAAAGGGAAAAAAACAAAGAGCAGACGAGCAAGTTTTGCAGAAAATGAGGGCAAATAGCAAAGACTATCGATTTAATTCATTAAGAGTACAATGAGTGGTGTATTTTATTGGTCCGAGTTGAGTGCTGCGAAAGCCTCAAAAGCATAAACTATTTGCTGTTTAAGGTCAGGAATATTTTTGTATATTTGCTGAATGTAGATCTGCATAAATGTGTCATTAAGAGAATGTGCTAAATATCCTCATGCAATCTGCCAGCAGTCATCCTCACATATGCACCCTGCACACATGCTGCTGTATCTGGGGGTTAAAAGTAGATGTTTACTTGTGGTAATGGAGGGTATAATGATGTGAGTATGAACTGCTCTTCCCTCTCTAATGATACAAGCAAATTGGGACGGCACTGCTTATCAACAATGGCACTGCTAATCTGTTGTCTTCAAAATGCTGGGTTCTCATAGCCCGTAGGTAAATGATCCCTCCCCCAATCTGATGTCTAACTAGAAACTGACGTGCCACTCCCATTTAGAGAAATTCAGATGAATTTTAAATGAAACAGATGCCTTGATTTACATTACATTAGTGCCAGACTTAATTTTCCATTTCCACATCTCTTGCAGTATCGACGGCCCTTAAGGGGCTCTACACCTTCTCACAGCATCTTAATGCACATTTTTCTCTTTTATAGGATTAGCAAAGCTTAAAATTTTCCAGTGGTTTTATGTCTTAGCAAGCGTTCAAACTTTTTTCCTTGTCTTTTCGGCTCATTCACTCGATTCCTTTGCTCTCCCCACATCGCAGAACACTTGAATGACTCACAGCCGCATGAATCAGCCCAGTCAGATCCAGCCTGAGCTATTTTTAGCCTGGCCATTAAGAAGTTTTGGAGTGTGTCTGCACTCCCCCAGAATGCTTAAGCATCAGTGTTGCTGCAGCAGCCAAGACTGACATGAACAGTGCATTCGGGATGACAGTTTAGCAGACCGCTGGAAGGAGGGATGCAGAGATGGTGCAATAGATGAAAGAGGGGCCACACAGAAACTCCTCGGGTCACGGCTCTGAACCTGCGTCTCAGCACCAGAACATCCTTGCATCATTGCTGTTCTCTTCTCTAGTGCACAGTTTGACGGATTTCAGAATTATCACAGTGGATACATTATCATAGTCTTTAAATAGAGGACGGTTGATATATGGCACTTTCTCTAAGATCTTTTTAAGTCCGGGCCTCAGTCTTGTTGCATCACTTGTGGATGAACTATCTCAGGGGCTAGTTCCTGCTCCCCTTGCATCACACTGGTGGGTTACTGACTCTTGATACATGGCACGCACACTTCATGTGCGCCTCTGCAAATTTAATCACTTGATTTAAACTGATTTGGGTTCAGAAATTGCTTCCAGCTTATTCCCACAACAGACACCTTACAGGAAAATGTCCATTACTGCACTTATGTCTCCTCAATTCCTATAAAAAGATATTCAAGGTGCTACAGCACAACATGTTTTATTAATCCGTTTAAGTGGGTGACATGTTTTTAAAAAAAGTGATGTACAAGATTCCCTTCTTGTAGATGTGCATTGCTACAAGATTCATGTCTTGGATCCTGCTGAGGATACAGTATTCCCAACAGTTCCCAGCTCCCCTGTAGCTGGGTGTTCAGCCCAGGGGTGTGCTGAGGGGTTACCCCATGACGGTCAGCACTGCATCATTAAAAAGATATGAATGTGGTCACAGCTGGCTTCCAGATTGATTGTGTAGGTTGGAAAACACCTGCTGCTGTTAAACGCAGGGCATGTATTTGGTGTGTTTAATATTTGCTGTCCAGGAGCAGTAAAAGTACCAGCAAGAAAATATCAGTTTAGACCTCTTACCCCACGTGAGGGATATCGGGCCAGATGGGGACATCCTAACATCGCACAGATGTCTACAGGATCCCCATAAATAAGGGGCTGAGGACTAACCCCCTCATTAATTAGCCTTTATGTTTTATCTTTTCCAAAATTAAATCTGTTTGAGTTGCAGGTTACAAGACTGCATATTCAACAGTTTGCTAATGAAAAAAGGAAACAAACCCCTGATGAAATATGGAAATACCGACTACATAATTTATGTACTCTGTCATTCAGGGTGGCTGAGTGTTCTAGGAGAAAGTTTCACATTAAAACAATGCTGATCATTGATTACACAGTTTGAGTTCGATGTGTCACCTGTGTGTGAGATTCCTCTGAGATGATCTGCGATCTATCGGTCAGAATTTTGTGCTAACACACTGAGTCTGAGAGCAGGGACGACTGGTCAGTTTAGGGTTGGAGGCCTAAATGTTTTAATTATTCATTTGGCTTGATGGATAACAATACATTTGTATGACACGAATCAGAATGTTGATTAACATATGCCTTACTCAGACTTTAAATACACTCCATTTGGTGGAAAGGAGGAGAGGAGATACATGTTGGGGCTTCTCTCCTGCTGTCGTCAGCTCGTTTCCTGTTTGTAAACGATTACATGGAGATGTCTAAGGGAAAATGTAAGGCATATGCTCAGTGCATGGAATGTTCTTGCGTGAGTGTGGCTCATTAAAAAAAACTGAAAGCAATGAGTCATTTTTCTCACTCTAAAGAGCATCAACCTGGTATCCGTGGCCTGTTTTGTCTTTCCGATTGTGCCATCCATTCATTAGTGTTGCTCTCCTCTTATCCTTCTTTTCTCAATTAATTTTGTTATCAGCTTTTCAAGGTCAAGCCAAATCCTCACTACTCACAGCCAAGCTGTCATTCTAACAATAAATGAGGGATATTAATGAATTTTATTTTTCAAATATGTGTTAATAATGCCGGTCTTTATTCCTTATTTTTTGTCACAATTTTCTCTCATCAAGCTGAAGGACACACAATTCACAGTTTTTCGTTCTTTTTATTATGTGCGGTCCGTCATGAAGCGGCACATGCTTAAAATTTAAAAGATGCAGTCTGTGAAGCAAAATGACTGATCTCCTGAATTTGCATTCTTTATAAAACATCTGACATCCAAAGGTATGGACATGAAAAACATTCCTAAACTGTTAATGTCAAATAGAGTGCTAAATGTTTTCCCACTTCAATGTCATTAACATTCACCTTTAATATCAGCTCTCATCGGCTCTGGAAATGAAAATATTCAGACAACAATACAGGAGGAGCCTTGAAGGGTAGTTTCACACAGATGTGTAGTTTGTATAAAGGCATTAGAAGGTCGTGGAGCATTTACAGACACATACTCCTTCAGGTTGAGAGGAGTTGAGCCGTGGCAGTAAGCAGGCTCTGCACTGGTCAAGATTAAAACCAACCTTTGGTTTGATTTCTGAAAGCTGCAGGTCTTCATAAGTCTTACTTCCATATCTTAGCATCTTTGACACTTTTAACAACACGATAAAAAGACTTTTGACATTCTGTGATAAACTATCTTCAGTTAACTAGTTTTGTAGTTGCTAAATTGGCCATTTCCATCCACTATTGCAAGTCAGTTATCAGAAAGAAACTCTCTAGTGCTGACTTGTAAAATGCAGAGTGACTATGCAAATACAGGCACGATAGTGCATGTGCATGCAAATGGACAAGCTCTGATTCCCCTCTGTGCATATACACATGCACACTCTTTACTTATTGTCTATATTCTGTGTGGAGTCAGCAGATAGATTAGCATAGCCAACTAATCCATCTTATTAGAAAGTAAGAGAAAGAGAGACAGCGACAGTAAAGCACAGGCTGTGAGACATGTCTTTGGTATTAAACTTTAGCTGAGTCAGTGTTATAAATGGGCACCACAAGAAGAGCCCTGCCATATAACTGGGAAAAAAAATGCCTGCACAAAGTGTTGTAAAGTGACATATTTCAAAGTGTGAGTGTGGGCGTGAGAGTTGTGTTTGTTTGCACGCCACGGAGTGATGGCCACTATCTGCACCTTTCATCAGTAGTCAGTCAAGTGTGTTGAGCCATCTCTCCCTCTGGAGGACAGATCCATATCAAATCATAATAGATGGCAATGCTATTTGAACAATGAATCAAAGCTGAAGCAGATCTGACAGTGGAGCAGGGACAGGTCCCATTTGACAGGGGCAGCGTTGGAGGACAGCAGGTCATATGTACGCAAACACACAGGCATGCACACCAAAATAAACAAGCATGTGCACACCAGGTCAACCTACTGCACGTCTCTTAAAGTCAAGTTCATTTCACAGTGTCGTAGCTGCATTCATTAACTTCTTACATGCAGTTCTTTCAGGGAAATGTGCAGGCACAGTTTGCTGGGTCATGCCTTTTACCAGAACTCTGTGCTGTGACTATATACTGTATATAGGGAACTATATAACTCTTCTACTAAAATTCCTGGCATCAGACACAGGTGGAATTTTATGAACTTTCTAAAATGAAATTGACAAGATCGACCATTTTCATCCTTTTATAGTGCTGCATCTAAAGGGACTCAGTCAGCAAAAACTGACCAGGCTGTCAACTGTTCCATCTAACATTAAGAAAAGAAAGAATAATTAAATCCGAGGACACTTTCATAAATGTGGAAAGCACCTGTCTTTGGCAGATGTTGAAGGCCGTAGAGCTGTGGTGTAAGTCCTCATCAGACGGTTACAGGAATAACTTTACTAGTCACACTTATGGAACAGACTGCAGTGCATTTTGTTTTTTTGTGTTAGTCTTACAGTTTGCACAGTACTTAGCTGGGTCAATTACACACTGAATACAACTTTTTAACATACCTCTTCTGATAAGGATTTCGACGCAAAAGAAGATCAGTTTTTAGATTTGTTGCTGAACATTTTGGAGCCTTCTTTGTCTTAATTTTTATTTTAATATTTTCCAAAATTCTTTTCAATAGGTTAGAGCTCTTTACTCCTAACAAATCACATCAGCACTAATTCGTTATGCAGCGTACTCTGCTGTGTTTAAAGAGGTGAAATTTTCCCTGACGGGGATATTATTAGAATAGGGATTATCTGAACCCAATTCTTTCTTCAGTATTTACATGCCTTATCTTTTTAACCAGCTTTTTCAGAAAGAAAATAAAAATATATATTTGGGACAAATACAGGTAGACGTATCTAACTGATCTAACCACATGATACAACAATATAATTAATCAAAAACAAGTTCAAGGTTTTATTTAAGACTGCAACCATAGCAATGAAGTAATGTTATTATTACCTCTGCCTTCTCCTCAGTTGAAAGTTAATTATAACACACTTTTTTTCCAACATTCCCAAAAATTCTAGAAAATCTCCAACTAAATGATAAATGTCCAGAGTTTTGCATTTTATTCACATCTTGTTAATCCACACTTTACTGTGCAAATTCTCTGATATTTTGATATTAGAGCATCCAGGTCGAATGTCAATGAGTTCCTCTCTCTCTGCCGTCTTCTTCTCAGAATCAGTCATCCAAACTCCTGCAGATTTGGATGAATGGAATTCTGATTTATGCCTTTATGTGACAAACTTTGCTTTGCACACATTTAAGAAAAAACATTCTAAAGCAAATAAAACCTTTTAAAGGAAACAAATACACTTTGCTACACTGTTCAGCGCTTTGATTATCTCATGTGGTTGTGGTTATCCAAAATATGGAGTTTTAAAATAAATTCAGCAGGTTGCTGGTTTAAAATATTTAGTTCAGGAAGATTTAGTAAGTTTACTTGAAGCACTGGAAACAGAAGGTGAAAATGGAAAGTTTAAGTTGCATGGAACGCTGAAACAAGGCATTACTGGCTTTCTGGAGAAACAATGGTGAAAAGGAAAGTAAGTAGTAAAAAGTCAGAATTTTGCATAAGCTAACTCTTTATTCAAGCTTCTGAGAAACTGAACATGGTGTGTAACTCTTAGGCAGCAGTTATCTTAGAACGCTTGCAAAATAATCTTATCAACTAGACGGGCACACAATTTTCACCTGAAACAAGGTTGTACTCTGCTGACTACAACTTCCTGCAGCAACCACAAAGAGGTTTAGCTAAAAGGTAGATTTTTTCTAAGAAAAGACTCAGGTTATGACAGCATAATTGTATAAAGCACATTTTTCTTGTCATTCCGCTTTAAACTTCAACACGTTACAAAACTAAAGAAAAATTGCAGTTGTTTGACAGCCCTGATTTATCCAGAAATCAAATAGAACGTTGAAAATACGAGAAGTATGAGGATGTGAGTCATCACAGTGTTTGGTTTTGCTGGGATTTGGTCTAATCAGAGCAGAAAGTACACATCTAATTCATCGTCTTAATCATCATATTGGTGATCACACCGTTAGAGATTAGTTCAGCTTTTGGTATCAACTGTTCAGGTGAATTTGTCTCTCACTCTCTCCTGCTTTCATTCTCTGTAAAAAAAAAAAAGGTTTGTGAGTCTGCATTCGTTCGAGAATATGACCTTGAAATCTGAGGTATCTTTTGATGAGTGTTTCGGAATCTTGTAAAGATTTGATTGAATTATTCAAGGCCTTTTCCTCTTTGACAGAGCAGAGGTATTTATAGGCGTTGGTCTCTGTCTCTGACACTTACATGGCAACAACAAGCTCTCTGATGGCTCTTCAACAAACCGACCAATTCACAGGCAGAGGAGGAGTAGAAAGGCAGCAGAACTGCAGAGATATGAAATACATGCTGGAGATGTGCAGCTCCAGGCTACAACCTGAATTAGGCATTAGGACCAGAGAAAATGTCACATATTTTCTTTGCCTCTCGTTCAGGGAGTGTTATCTCAAATCGAAGAAACCGAAAAAGGAAAATGATCAGGAGGATTTTTTAAATAGTGGACAGTTTAAAGTGGACAGAGGATGGTGTTGTATCTTTTTAATTTTTTTTAATGAGAGAAATGCCATTTTATGTAAGTGATTCATGCTCAAAGATGAAGAAGTGGAAAGAAGGTTACACCAAATTCTTATCAAAGTGCTGGAACGAGCTGAAAGGATAGACGTGAAAAATGGACTGTTGTCCAGTCATGGTGTCGGATCTGCCAGTGATGTGTAGCAGGATTGATGGAGCGGTAACAGTTGTAAAGACAGTGTCAACCAACTCAGGGTGTCGGGAGTTACACTGGGGTAAGTCCCACCTTAATCTACACTGTTCAGATTACAAATATAAAGATAAAATATAAGAGTAAAAAAAGTTTCTCAATTTTTTTACTTTTAGTAGAAGTCTAATCATGATGATTTTTCCATTCATCCTGTACTCTTTCTTCCTGTATCTCTTTTTTCCGGTATATCAGCCACACCCGGCTCCACAGATAGAAACCTTTTTATATTTTACCATCCTGATTTTAACTGTTATAACTCTTTTTATTTCTCTTTTATCAGATACAGTATCTGTTAAAGGTTTATATGTATCTACTCATTTAAGATGAATACATAGATGTGTCGCAACAAATGTCATTGATTTCTTATTTCTCTAATATTTCGAGTATTTCAACTATGAATGTTCCCCTCACACTCGATAGCTCAAATTGAGTAATGTCTCTTGTTCAGTTTAGTTTAGAGCGTAGCTCTTTAACAAACCTTGGTAGACTGTGATGGCTCATACAAAAAAAAGGCTATTCGGTTTATGTCAGGAAAACAGGCACTGCCCTCAGTCCTTTTTTTGTCTACTCTTACAATTTGAGTTCTCTGTTTGTTTATAGGGCTCAAAGGTTAAAAGAGATAATGACCAAGATGAGTCCAAACTTAATAAAAATGAAGGTAAACACTTGTTGGTTCAAACAAAGCAGCTTAGCCATGTTACAGCTACAACTGGGCCATTAAACTGGATGGCCATCCTCATCCCAGTATATACTCACTGGGGCATCATCAAATCAATAACTCAACCCAGCAAAGCGGAGAAGCCCGAATCTTACTGGAGCAGAGCAACGGTATAGAGAGGCTTTGTCTCATGGCTGATGTGTGTCAGTGCCTGACAAAAGAAAAAAAAAAATATGTGAATGACAATAATGTTATTGAGAATTTGACAGTACAAACACAATCTAAAAAATTTTCTTATCTGTTTTCGCACAACTTGGCAAACGGTTGGCTTGAAATTTGACATAGATGTTTTCTTTGAATGATTATGTTTAGTTTTCTTTAAATGAATAAAACTACTTTATCTAAAACCTAACCCAACAAGCAAGGATGATGTTTCTTTATTGTTGACACGTGGATTATGTCGTAAAAGATATTTTGACACAGTTCAATGAAATCCAGCCCTAGAAGCCAAAGGTAGTGTAAAATGTTAAAGATTATAACCTATATGGAACCTGTGTCATACACGTTTGTCTGTATAAATAAGTGTACTTTTTTGGGGGGGGATATTAGACATCAAATCATTATTAATATTGTCAACTGATACCTTCTTTGCCTCCACTTTGAGGCAATTCAGTTTAATATATGACCACCCCCTCTTTTTCACTTGAATGTTCTTTAAAAGCTTTTGTTCATTCTCATCTTTTCTTTTCTGACATCTATAGTTAAGATAGCCTAGAAATTTACAGACAAATGGTTTCAATGAGTTTGGCTCAGTGTTCTTTCATGTTAAATCCTGCCCTGGAAATCCAGTTGCAAAATTTAGTTTGCTTGCATTCCCTCCATTTGCAGAACAGATAAGGATTAAATATGATGCAGTGTGCTTTTAGGCCTTCTTTTGGGTTGAGTTTCTTCTGCTTCAGTGTTCTCTCCATCACACTGTCATATTGTGAGTAAGACTAATTTCATTCAGCATTGCAATAAAATCAGGACACCTCTATTTCAGTCTCATTTGGGGTTAGATAAAGGTTTTCAGAAAAGAAAGTTATGGTTAGACACAAGAAGATTAAAAGAAGAATAGAAAATTTAAGATGCTGGTGTGTGTGTGTGTGTGCGTGTGTGTGTGTTTGTGTGTGGTTGGCTTTGCATCCACTTGCACATCTGAGTCAGACCTCTGTTACATCTGGTACATTGTGTGACAGAACAAAATAGTGATTAAACAATTATTACCTTCCCTTCCTACCCATCCACCCTTAGCACAAGTGTCTCCTTGTAAGTACTATGGCTCTTGGGAAGTTTCACTGAATGGTCCGGCATTGTTCTGATTAATTTAAACACTGTTTTCATATTCAAGCTGTACAAAGCCCTCTGGGTTTACTATACCCTGAACGTAGTCTTCCATCCACTTGGTTAAGACGGCTAACACACCCGGAACAAACAAGGACGGAAGAAAGAAGACAAAACAAAAGATGGGATGTGTTGGTGTGTAGGAGGATAGAATTAAACAGTCAATGAGGCTCACTTGATAAGTGTGTGTGTGTGTGTCTGTGTGTGTGTGTGTCAGCGTGTGTGCATGTTTGTGTTCGGCTCTTATCAGTGGTAAAGCAGCATAGGTTAATTCTCATTCAGCAAGGTTCACTGTGTGTCCGTGTTGGTTTGTGTTTCCATTCATCTGTGTGCGTGTGTGTGTGTGTGTTTCTGTGTGTGAGATGTGGCTCTTGTGTCCTTCAGACAAGGACAGTGAAAGAGTTACAATCTGTCCAGAATGGAGAAGCATGATGGACTGAAAAAGAGGCGCACGCAGCAGAGCTCTCAGAAATGCAGCCTGTTAAGAGAGAGACAGAAGCATGGCATATAGCCCAACATGCTAAAGATGCTTTATTTTCCATTTTAACAGACTTTATCACAAGTGAGAATTGACTGAACCTATTCTCACAAAGGAAGAAAGCCTTTCAATTAGTGCCATGTTAAGGCTGTGGAAAAAGCTCTGCCATCTGCAAATTTCTGGATCCAAACACAAAGGAGGCTTGACACAAATCTGGTAAACGATAAAAGATAAAGATTAAGATATGTGATTAGGCTCTTCTCTCCCCACTGCTCTCCATTCTCCACCCAAATTATTAGGGATGTGTACACTTTGTAAATTTGACTATTCAAAATGAGATTGGTGTCATTTGGGTTAAATCTTTGTCCTCCCAGTTTAACTTCACTTGCTTGACCCACTCAACCTCCATATAGCATTTGGAATGATTGGCTCTTAGAAGACCTGTTACAGACCAAATCCTCCGGCACAAGTTATAATTCCGTAAAGCCTGAAAAGAGAACTTGCAGATCTGTTCAGGTTTCGTGTCAGCGCATTTAGCTTTATTTTGAGATATATTAAATATTTGGGGGAAATAGGTTAAAGGGGGTATATAATATACAATTTGACCTGTTACAGTTATAATCTGCTAATAATTTGAAGCAAAGATATGGTGATGCATAAGTCATGTTGGTGCAGTTAAATTTCCTACTTATTGCCCATTGTGAGCTTTTTAATCTATTATTTAATCTGAATTGTGAATCAATGAAAGGAGCCAAACTTGGTTTCATCTGCCTATTAATATCTTGTTTGGATTGTAACTGTTGAATTATGACCCATGATTCGTGACAAATAAGATAGCATGTTACACTTGATCTATTACCTGTTTAAGGTCAAGCTCCACTTAACTTTGTGCTCCCACATGTGCTCGCATTTGTTTCAGGTGTATTTCAGTTTGGATGTAAAAGCAGTGCATCTGTTTTATTCCTCGTTGAAACAGTAACCTGTGTGGAAATACGACACCTTATTGAGCAGAGAACTAGCATTCTGTACAGTAATTTCAATTGTGCTGCATTTTCAACACAGTTTTTAAAATGTCAATAGTCCATAGAGGCATCTTCTGTTTTTTTAAACGCATGATTTTTTGAGATACATCTTTGCCAACGTGGCTCCACTACTCATACATTTGTTGCAACAGTTTCTTCAAGGGAAAACTAACAAAACATCAGATCTTTTAAAAGGAACATATTAAAAGCTATAAAAACCTTCAGTGACAGAGTGGGTGCTGCACAGACTGAAATAGGGATTTATTAAGAAGAAAGCGATATCTCTCTTACCTTGACAGCTCCCGTGTATATTGTTTACACAGCTCTAAAGAAACTTTTGCATTGTCCAAATTCCTTTTTTTTTCACATTCTTTATATCTCTTTGAGCAATGTTGCACATTACTTTGATGAAAACGCCATTTTCTTCAGACAGTTTTATGCTTGTAAAAATGCATCCTGGGGCCATCTCCTAATGGACAATTGCAGCCTACTTCAGATAGTTTTCAGAGGAAATGACCTTCTTTCCATTTTCTTTCCTCTCTAAATTCTATTATGCTATTCTGCAGCATTTTGGTATTTCTGCATTTTGTCAGCTTCCATCAATAGTTTCAAAATGTAGCGGGTTAGAACAGGACCTGCATAGTTTACATGGACATAAACAAAAAAAAAACATCCAAATTTAGTCAAAAGCCAACTGAATGTATTTCTTTAGTATGGAAAAAAGTATCTATACCTCTGTGTCTATACAGTATAGTCGCAGTTATAAGAGTTACCAGTTTACTGTAAATGTTCCTTGTCATGTCTATTATTTCCTTTGTGTGTGTGCGTGTGTGTGTGTGATGGATGGAAGTAAAGTTGAGGTTATCTGTGCTATCAGAACCCTGCTTTTGGATGCTCCAGGGCTGCACAAAATACATGACAGTCATGATGAATGAGCCACATTTCACACTTTTAGACTCTATCTGGGATCACCGGGTGCACACATACACACCTATACATGCATTTGTGAATGTATACATCCACAAATGCATGGTCCACATACAATACTGTATACATTTACCCTAGCAAACTTTCCACATAGACCAAAGTTCAAGACTTTTGGTTTAGTAAAGAATAAAACAACATAAATGTATGAATACATGTGTGTAAAAGTTAGGTTCATCAGAACTTTCTACACCAAGTATCACCTCCTCTTTCATTACCATTTCCCCTTTTGTCTGTGCGAACAAAATGTCACGTCTTCCCTCACAAAGTAATCCTCTAACCCTTACAAAATACCACCCAGCTTTTTATTGACCTTTCTTCCCCCTTGCATCCAGTAATTGATTGTAATCACTTTGAAAAAAAAAAAGTTTAAACTTTAAACTATTAAGGTCTTACTAGCTTTGTGTGTTTTTACTTTTATCTTCCATGTTCAGTTTTTTTAAGCTTAAACTTTAATGATAGCGCCTTGTGTTAAAGTAATTAGCAGTCTTTTGTTTCTAAATGGGAGCAACACTAGTGACCCTGTAGTCAACACTATACACAGACAGGTCAGCTGTGACTGAAAAGCTGGGTTGTTTGCTTTTTATTTTTCCACTTGCCCGATTTGTCTTTTGATGCATTCCTGGCAAAGTCTGTTGGATACTTTGCCTGGCTCGCGTTTTTCGCCTCATTTTCACTCAACAGCATTTTCAATTGTTAGTAAGGGACTCCACTTTTTATGGTAAACTCATAAATTGGATACGGAACAAATGTTTTAGGGGAAATTTTTGGGCAACATGCAGTGGTTCTCACATAACCCCCTGTTCATACTTTCACAGTCTCTCCCAATTAAGTGTTTTTATGCGGCCTCAAAGGGTCAAGTGGTGCTTAGTCAGCAGAATGTCACTTAGGGGAGACGCATCATGTTTTATTAGAATGGGGAGAGGGCATCGATCTCTATAAGCACTTCCTTGAAATGAATACATGCTCTGACTAAAACCATGCAAATACGCTGTACCTTAACACACTCGCCGAGCTCCCATTCAAATATACTTGCCTTTATATACTGTATTACTGTTTTACTTTACTTACTGTTTTACTGTAAGTAAAATTATGCAATTATTCAAAGACCCAAAACATTGCCACGAATAATTACGGACTTATAGGTTATAATGAAAAATTCTTGCTAGTGATAATTACCATGCTTCTCATTGATAGATTAATTCCTCTTCCTGCTCACTGAATTAGACTGCTGCTGAGATTCTTATGCCAATATCATTACATTCAGATGTAAATACAGTTTCTTCCTACCCCATGCTAAACCAGCTGTTTCAAACTGTCTTGTCAATTTACAATAAACTGTCAAATGTAAATTAAAAAGTTGTGGGGTTTTGTTTGGCATAACGCTTTAAGATACATTTTATTTGTTTTACAGAGACTCGAGAGGACCGCAATAAGAGACTGTTCAGGCACTACACTGTGGGATCTTATGACAACTTCACCTCATACAGGTACAGCTTTGCCATCACGTTTCAGCATTGTGCAGTTTATATGTGCACGGACTCTAATTGTGATGTCACAGAATACTTGCCATGTTGCCATGTCTGTGTTAAAACAATCCAGGAGAAAAGCTAATGAAGTGCAGTGAATCTGCTGCCATCTAAAGGAATGAAGCCGCCAGTGTACTCTGCTCTGACTCTAAAATACAAAGCCAACTATAAAACTAAACATATGCGTGCATGTGCATGTACACACATACTTTAATCAGATGTAGATTAGCTTACTCACGCCAAATATATCCATTACTTCTACAAAACTGATATTTATAGGGACAATCCACCGTACGACCGTCCAAATGAATGTCATATACACATGAGGCGATGATGTGCCCCATGCTGGACACACTCCTAACTCTTGTCATGTTGTAGAGTTCTCAGATCTGAGCTGTGTTTTGTGGAATATTAGAATCACCAGTGGTAGAAGGTAGGTTTTACTTTTGAGGAAACAAAAATGAGTGAGTCTTGCATCAGTGTTTTTGTAGTTATGTAGGTGGACTCTTAACAGGGACAGTGAGGATAGGGCATTAATGCAGCATTTAAGAGCATAGAGCAGATGTGAACATATATATAATAATGGCATGTTTTGTGGTTTTGAACAGCTTCACCAACACAATTTCCTGTGCATGATAATGCGAACAAAATGGATAAGGAGCTCTTTATAAATCAGACGTTTAACAAACTTCTCATTTAGGACTAGTTTTTTTGTTTTTCTTCTAGTTTGTTTTGTTTTTACTTAAAATTAACCCCCCACTTCATTTTACGTCTCATATGACTTTCCCATCCAGTTGGTTTGATAAGAGAGACTAGTATTAGAATAGCTTTGCACACAACAAAACGTACCCCAAATGTTCTTTTTAGACTTAGGGAGCACTTAAGTACACTGGTAAAAAAACCTTGGAAGGTGCAGAAAGCACCTTAGGTTAACACCAACTAACCAGCCGCCACCCCTGTACACTCAGCAAAATCAGACAATGATGAACTGCCTCACTTACTTTTGCGCCCTATTTTCTCTGTCATTAGTCAGAGCAGTATATTGCTTCTGAGCCCTCGCTGTCGGCTTCTTTCACAAAATCCCTCAACACACTTCTGAGATGAAGTCTCATCTGAAGGATAAGCCAGAAGATTGATTCACTCTTAGGGTTTTTCCCAAAGATGCTTGAGTCATGAGGATCACTTTCTCCTGCTCATTTTCTCTTACGCTCGCCCTTGGTCCTTCTTGCTTTACCTGTTTGTGTCTTCTCAAATTCCTTTCACATGACCCGAGAATCCTCTTCTTTGGCTTTTAACGTGATATTGAAAAAGAAAGGCGAGTGCGTCTATGCCCAGTCATGTTTCTGAGCGCGCACCACCACTTTTCAGCCACCAAACGAGGACCCCCTTTGATCCGCTGGCCTCACACTCTTCCTTCTCTCTGTCTGTGCAAGCAGTGTGTTGTATTCTTACCTGCTGTACCTCTGCTCCTTCTTCAACAGTGACTACATCATAGAGGAGAAGAATGCTGTTTTACAGAAGAAAGAAAATGAGGGCTTTGGTTTTGTTCTGCGAGGAGCCAAAGGTGAGCAACACGCACACCGCTGCACACCGCTGCTCACACTCATCGTGTTTTCAATGTGTGAGCGGGTCCTGGTCGCACAAGTGGATAGACGGTCTGAGTCACTGAGTTCAGCTCAGCCGTTATTGTGACTGAGTCAACAACACAACCAGCTTTGATCAACACTCAGCTTATTTACTCAGATGCACTCAGGCGTCTGCGGGTGTTTGTGTGTGAGAGAGCCCATGTACCCCCTCTGGTGGCGTCATCCTTGGCTGAGCTGTCAGCTCGCTGTCCCATCTGTTCCTCGCACATGGCGTTTGAGTATTAGTGGAGATGCATGCCTCTTTCCCCTTTCTATTCCTCTAATTTTTTGCTCAGGCTGTCACTGTTTTTGCTACTCTCCGGTCTCCTCAACCCCTTTTACATCCTTCCTGTCCATTATCATCTCCAAACACTGTCACACCTTCTGCTTTTTAACTAAAATTGCTTTTCAACTCATCTCCATCACCACAAATTCATTTTACTCACACACGTGCCAGCTCCCTCCTTTGGGTGGTTACCATGGAAACCCCTCTCAGGCAGCTTGCCGGGAGTCTGACTGTGCTTTACTGCTCCATCACTCACTACCATGAATCTTGGCTCACCCTCTCTCTTTCTCAGTCATTCTTTTACTCCCCAGTAGCCTTAAACACAGACACACTGCAGTTCACTTAATGGTCCTCTGAGAGCTCTCATGTGTCAGTGATTTAGTTGGAGCTGCTTCAAGATTAAATGGAGTTTCTGATGACATATTCACTTTACAAAATATGCTTGTGGATTGAATGGTTTAAATGCATTTTTAGATCCATTTTTTGATTTAGGAAAGCACCAAAAATTTCATCTTGACTTCTTAAGAAATTAAAATAGTAAACATTTTGTAATTGTTCTCTGCAGTAGTTCATAGATTTATTTCTGTGTTTGGAATCTTTTGTCACTATTTGTGATCCCGCTTACCCACTGTTGCATTTAGACGAGTTGCAGATCTTCCTTTGCTGTTCCGGATGTCTGTAAATCCTCACTGTTTCTTCTCAGCTGAGACTCCCATCGAAGAGTTCACCCCCACCCCAGCGTTCCCTGCTCTACAGTATTTGGAGTCCGTGGATGTGGAAGGAGTGGCCTGGAGGGCTGGACTGAGGACAGGGGACTTTCTTATTGAGGTAACCAAGGACCGCTTTTCTCTATTGCATGTTTAGGGAAATATTGAGTAAGGGTTGTCACGATTTGCAAAACTAAGCTGTGTAAGTAAAAAAAATGATCACGTCAACTAACCAGAATTTGCTGATTAATAAAAAACAGCGGGGCAGCCCTCGTCTTGGTTCTCATGATGTCCCCGAATATTGTGTCCAGGTAAACGGCGTGAATGTTGTGAAGGTGGGCCATAAGCAGGTTGTGTCCCTGATCCGACAAGGGGGCAACAGACTGCTGATGAAGGTGGTGTCTGTCACACGCAAACCTGAATCTGAAGAAGTTGTTCGTAAGAAAGGTGTGTCATTTCTTCCAGACTGGCTCAAGCATTACTCTTGATAATTGATTTAATTATAGCATTTATCCATGATAACTGTATTTGTTGAATAGCTTAAAGTATGCTGTGGATTTCAACTTATATATACAATTACATGAGTAACTTCATTGGGTACAACTCTATATTATTATGTCATGGACACAATGTGCCTCTTTTTTAATTTGTTTTAGCAATTTCTATCTCTTTGCTCTGCTGGAAATTTATGTAGTTTCCATGTCAACCACATTTTGCCTTTACTCCCACACGGTTCTGGCACAATGACCTGCATATTCTATAGTTGTGTTTGTCTCTGTGTGTGTGTACCTATGTTAAACTTCTATGTGACTACTGAGACACAGAGACAGTGATAAATGAGTGTGACATAGTTTCACTGGGACAGTGCTCTATCAACTAAATCCTGCCACTCAGTGCTTCGTGGTCTCTCTTAATCTCTCTGTCTGTCATGCTCCCAGCGGTGATCGTAGACTCCAGGCCCATTAAGGCCCTCTGTGTGAGTTTCTTTCACACAGTCCAAAGTCAAACATTAGGTCACCTGGTGATTTTAGATTGACTGTGGGTATTAGGCCCTGTGAAGAACTGGTGAAATGCCTGGCCTGTTGTGTACGCACACATTGAAACAAGTGCGTTAATGGCTGGAATCTATGTTTTCTGTTCATTTTGAACTAACTGAGACGGTTATTGATGGACAAACAAAAGCTCTCTCTTGTGACATTAAACAATGTGCTACACTGATGCATTACACTGAATTGTGTGTGAACACACAGCTGGTCACAGACTCAAATACTTGAAACATAACTAATACCACTGCCTTAAGACACTTACAGCAAAGTGTTAGTCTACCTAGAGGTTCCAGATATTTTATACTGTAAAACGGTCCCACAGAGAACAGCATGCCAGAAACCGACAAAAACCTCAAGAATTTTGAGAAGACACCTTCAAATAGTGAGAGAAGAGTGAGACCTACCAGCTGAATATAGGATGGTCGTCCACAATTGTCACCTCTCGACTAACACTGTCCTCTCCTGTGTGATGCACAGTTCCTAAGCATTGTCCAGTTTGACATTGTGCTCCCACAGGTGCTGGTCTATTCTTATTTTTATTCACATTTCCGACATGTTGGTGCTACATGATGCCGAGTTGCATTTTTCTTCACCCTTTATTGACAATAACACTATATACAGCAGGAGCTCATTTGAAAATCTTGAATTACAATAGATGGATGGGCATTTACACACCTTCTGATGAGCACAAAGTCCCTCTGTGCCATTTTCAACGCCCACTTGAGGTGGGCCCAGGACAGATTGTTGTGCATCACAGAGCCACACAGAGACGAACGACTGTGGACACTCAGTCATTGCTCGGGTTAATAAAGAAGGCTCATTTAACCTAAAAAGAGAGGACCGGATAACTTGAAGATACTCACACATGTATGGAGGGAAGATGCAAAGCCTGCACAGAAAGACCTCAGACATCATTCAAACAGAACACTTACTGTTAAATGACAGTACTTACCAGCACACTGCTCTCGACTGAGTCCTTTTTCCTTCTTTTTTATGGGTCCCACACTTTTAGCTGTGTCTTTCCTCCCTGTCAATCATGGCTTTTTTGAAAGTCTTTGCCAGCAGACCAAATAATTTAAGCTTTTGCGATACAATATTATTCACTTGAATAGAGGTGAAGAGTGAGATGAGAAGGTCAACAATCCTTTTATTTCTTTGTTTGGCTGCTGCGTGTAGACACAATTACATCCAAGAATTAACAATATATCTTTACTTATGAAGTTCTCTAATGACTTAAAATGTCATCTTTTTTTGACCGACCTTACACCAGAGCTGTGAGGTTTTATCGAATTTACAGTAAATACAAGGCGACATACGCTTGATTATAAGCAGAAAATGTCATTTTATCGTGACCGTGTAAACTGTTGCCCCGAAAGTCTGCTGTTTGCCTTCTGCTGCCACTCCGCTCCTCCTCTGGGACACATTCTTCACATTGTGATTCACTTTTTCACAAATGCACAGACACATGCTGACAGGCAAAGACTTGAGAGCAAACATATTCTCTGCACCATGCGTGGCCTCACTACTGCCACCGTTGCCATGGTGACAACACTGCATGTTTGAATTAAGCATTACATTACGGCAACACTCTCTCTCCATCTGAGCCTGTCTCTGTTCCTCTCCCTTTCTCCAATCCTCCTCCATCTCCTCTGCTCCCTGCTTCTGTACCACAGTGTGCAGGCTGGTGAAGGAATGAAGATGTTTGATATGGACAGTACCCAGGATTGCGTATGTACACTAGAGGTGCAGCTGCTGACGACAGCACGATAGCTATGGTCTAGTAAGGCAATGGGGCATCTGGAGGATTTGGAGACATATCGCTCCACAGTGCTGCATCGAGTGTTAGCTGGTCGATCCCAGACAGAGTGAGCTGATCTGATTCGGTTGTGGGGTATTGTTAGAAAACTTGGCTGCTGACTGTGGCTTTATGATCACTGTCTGCATGGCTTTATGCTGTTACGGCTGATTTAACATGCAGAAATATATCACTGCATTAGACGCAGTTTACTCAATGACAGTGTTTATTTCAAAAGCTTATTTTTAAGCCTATAACTTTGCATTTTGTTTTTGAACTATAACATTTGCTAGACATGATTTACTGCTTTGATTGGGACGGAAACAGCCCAGTTGGCATGTGTGTACAAAAGGATTGGAAGGCTCCCAGGAGCTTTGGTAATGTAAAGTCTGCAGCGCATCATTTTCCTTAGCTGTTAAATTTACTGTCATCTCTTCGTCTGTCAGCCCACATGTCATTATGTCCGCCCTCAAGGAGTTTCCTCTGTGAAAGGATATAGTTGTGTGTGTGTGCACCGAAATGTTGTTTTGCATTTCTGTCTGATGCACAACCACTACATTGCAGACAGGCAGTATATTAACAGTAAGATGGATGAGTCTGCCTTGCTCCTTTCTACACACTTTTTGCTCTTGCTTAACGGGGCGGACAGATTATGTTATTCTGTGTGTAATGGGAGGATTCAGAAAGCTAGGGATCTTATTGAGAAGACTTAGCTTGTCATTTAGTGTCAGTGGGCTCATCAACTGAGGGGTATCCTTGCAGCACAGAGATCATAAAGCCGCAAATTCAGAAGACACACTGACAAATTGATGAGTCATCTGGCAAACAGAGCAAATAAAAATGAAGAAACTGAGCTCCAACCGCGGCCTGAACAAAGTCCTGTCTAAGTGCGAGGCATCCAGCTCATCCGAATTTGACCGAGTCAAAGCAGTGAAGACGGGATGGGCTGGCCGTCTGGGAGAAGCCAGGAGGGCACTGAGTCGCAGAGCCAAAGGATTTTCAGCCCACCCAACTTCATCCTCAACACCATGCCTTTTCTCCACAGCTCCCCCACCACCCAAGAGAGCTCCCAGCACCACCCTGACACTTCGCTCCAAGTCAATGACGGCTGAGCTAGAGGAACTGGGTGAGTGCCAAAAAACTGGTATGCAAACTCGACACTCTCGTCCTCCCTCTGTCATGATTCTGCCTTTGCTTTGTCATTAAAACTCAATCTATCTCCTAACTTCTACAGTAGTCGCTTATGTTGGCTTGCTCTTGTCTTTTTCCCTCCTGTGCTGACTCTATCTCTTTCCCACCAAGCTTCTGCTCGGAGGAGAAGAGGAGGTGAGTCTGAGGCAAGAAATTAACACTTTTCTGAGCGTCCTAATGATGACTGAATCACAGATTTGTCAGATTCAGCAGTGTTGATCTGAAGAGAAGAGTAGGACGGGGGCCACTTGAAAAACATGGACCCAGTTTTTCAGCTTCTGTTTTTCCTCCTCTATTATTCTCTCATTTAATTCTTGGCACCCACTAGGAGCCACCAAAGACACAAAACTATTTTTGAGCCAATTTGGCCATTTTACACAATACCACAAAAGACAAAGGAAGATTTTACACTGTAGTGTTTATCTATATTTTAGACATCCTTTCCATTGTTTCTTGTGACATCCGTGAGAACAATTATGGCGCATCATTTCCATAGGCTTATGTCTTAAGATTTGGTTCTGCCTCATTTCCTCCTTAACAGAGAGGCTAGATGAGATGTTGGCATCGCAGGAATCTATGTTGCGTTCTCAACCCTCGGAAGCGGATTACAGAGCAGCCACTGTCAAACAACGCCCAACCAGCAGGAGAATAACACCAGCAGAGATCAGTGTGAGTGCTCCTACATACACAGCACACTGCCAACAGTTTGGGCCATGCAAACACTGTAAAGGTGTTAAAATACAATGATTACATAGTTTATTCTGATTTTGTTCTGCAGTCACTGTTTGAGCGACAAGGAATGACTTTACATGGAGGACTGCATCCAGGAATTGAGAGAGGTCACATACCACTACCAAAGGGAATGTCCCGGACAAAGTCTTTTGGTAAGCAAATCTCCCATGGGGTCTAAGTAGAATATCTACATGAGAAGATGTGAGCCAAAGACGGTTTGTTTGTTCTTGTGGATCAAATATCTGTTGGCACAAATCTTGGACACATAAGTATAAAAAATTATATGATGGAATTTTATTCTTATTTTTTATATTCAGTCTTTTCACATTCAAACTTCCGGCAACACCTTTGAGTTATAAGATGAAGTACATTTGAGTACTTTGAGTGCATAGTACTTGAATGTTTTGAAAACTGGATAAAGTGAAGACTTAGAGAAAACAGATATTTTGGAAAAGTTCATTTCTTATGAATTAAGTGAATAATAATAATAAAGTGAAAATTGAACAAAATGTTGGGGAAGTCAATCACATGTCATATCATGTGACATATTAAGATCATTTATGAATTATTCTGCTAAAGGGTGTTTTACATACACACATGTAGACGCGTTTGCTATGAAAGTTCATTTAAAAAAAGCTGATCTCTTCCCCGCTCTCATCAGGTGCCACAGAAGAGGATCGACTGTCTGCTCTTGCAGGCGAGCACAGATTTCCCCGAAGTTCCTCTATGACAGACAGCCTCCGAGAACACTCACAGCCCCATCCTATCCCTCCGCCTCCTCAGACAGCTCCTCCTCCTCCTCCCTACTACTTTGACACAGGTCCTCCCCCAGCTTTCTGCCCTCCTCCACCCCCATCTAGAACCCAGAGTCAGGGCCATGAGCCCGGAGGACGTTCCAGCTTTAAGCCATCCTCCTTGGACCTGCCTTATGAGGCCACTCAGCGGCAGGCCACACACATTGAGAGACAGAAAAAAGCCCGCTCGATGATCATTCTGCAGGACTCCTCCCATCTACCTGTAGAACCTACAGAAATTCCCCGTCCCTCTGCTGCTACTCCACCTGAGCGGATCAAAAGGAAAGGCAGGGTTATTGACAACCCTTACGCAAATGTGGGTCAGTTTAGCATTGGGCTGTACACACCGACAAAGCCTCAAAGGAAGAAAAGTCCTCTGGTGAAACAGCTACAGGTAGGTTTTGCTGGTTTTCCTTTACTCTTAATTGTGTTTAATTCTCTTATACCCGCATGCAGAAGATCTCCCTACCATGAACGTGCATTTTTCTTTGTTTTCTATCCACTGTAGGTAGAAGATGCACAAGAAAAAGCTAGCTTGGCCTTAGCTGCTGCCCACTCGCGAGAGAGCTCACCCTCAGGACGACACCCACTCACCCATGGGCTCACACACACCAGCCGCGCAGACTACTACCAGCACCAGTTGATGGCTGAACGTGAGCGTTTGCGCGCCCAAGGTGAGATGATGTTTCAGGGTAAGGGCCCGTTCGCAGCCGCCATTGCCGGAGCAGTGAAAGATCGTGAGCGTCGCTTAGAAGAGCGGAGGAAATCCACTGTCTTCCTTTCTGTTGGGACCATGGAGGGGACATCTACAACCAGCCCTGATGCCCCCTCCCTGACCCAGTCCCACTCCATCGACGAGAGGTCGCTGACCCGGGAGCTGGGACAGCTTCCGCCCCCTGCCTTGGCTCTGAGCCCCTCACCTACTGGGACCACTTTTATCCATCCGCTTACAGGAAAGCCTCTGGATCCTAATTCACCACTGGCCCTTGCGCTGGCCGCAAGGGAGAGGGCACTCACTTCCCAGAGTCAGTCCCCAACTGGCAGTCCAGAGCCTCGGACTAAACAAGACCGAGTGGGCCAGGGTGTGATTTTCACTGACACTAAGACCAAAGAGTCTCCACATGGAGATGGGGCAACTACATCTCCCCCCTTTTCACCTAAAAGCGCCAAGGCAGCAGGGTTTGGAGTAGGATCCTCCCCGGCATCTATTTTAGCTCCTCAGCCCACCAAACCTCACTGGGCTGCATCAACGTCACCTATATCATTCCGCCAAGAGATGGAAGTTAGAATAGAGGAAAAGAAGGAGGAAAAGAGACTAGAGGATAAAAAAAGTATGTTAATCAGTATTATGGATACATCACAGCAGAAGACGGCGGGGCTGGTTATGGTTCACGCCACCAGTAATGGCCAGACTGTTGGGATGGTTTCAGAACTTGAACAGACACCTGTGCCTGAATCCTTAGAGCCCAGTAAATCACAGAGCCCACGGGCTAAATCTCCTAGTCCTACTACGGCCCAGCCCCAGGCTCAGCCCCAGGTCCTGCCTCCAACTCAGCGTTCTGCCAGTCCTGCACAAGAGAAGAGTCTGGCTCAGGGAAGCTCAGAGGAGGATGTGGATCCTTACACCGTCACCCTGCCCCCTGCTATGTTGTCCTCCAGCGACGAGGAAACTAGAGAGGAGCTACGAAAGATCGGAGTGGTTCCGCCACCGGATGAGTTCTCAAACGGGCTGCTGGCACAGGCACAGCGTATGCTGGTGACCCCGGTCAAGTCCTCGGTTTCTCCTGCCACCTCTACGACGCCCCAAACTCCCTCGACCACAACGATCCCGACTGTGACACCCACCCAGCCTCAGCCCCACCAGCCCCCGCCGCCACCCACTGCAGCAGCTGTCTCAGGGAAGCCTTCTGACCCTTTGGAGCCCCCACCGGTGGGCGAGTCCGGCTCCGCAGCCGACTCGGGCGTGGAGGAGGCCGACACGCGCAGCTCCAGCGAGCGAGAGCGAGACCACCATCTCGAGACCACCAGCACCGTCTCCACAGTTTCCAGCATGTCCACATTGTCTTCGGAAAGCGGCGAGCCTGCTGACACTCACACCACGCACACCTCCTATGCCGACGGGCAGACTTTTGTGCTCGACAAGCCGCCAGTGCCTCCCAAGCCCCGTCTCAAATCCCAGATAGGAGGCAGCAAAGGCCCCGTCACGTTCAGGGACCCTCTGCTGAAGCAGAGCTCCGACAGCGAGCTGCTATCACAGCAACAGGCCGCGGCCCTGGCTGCCGCTGCCGCTGGAGGAGCTGGGCTCCCCGCCGGTGGTTCGGCCTCTGTGACCGGACTAGCCCCCACTAAGCCGCGCTACCTCTTCCAGCGGAGGTCCAAGCTGTGGGGGGACCCAATAGAGCCCCGAGGGCCAGGGGTGGGGTTAGGTATCGGGAGTTTGGGCAATCTCGGTGGACTGGGACTAGGGCTGGGCGCGGATGAGGGAAAACCGTCTGTCATGGGAGAGCTCAGCTCACGTCTACAGCAGCTAAATAAAGACACTAGGTCACTCGGTGAGGAGCCACTGGGAGCATCACTTGACCCAGGGAGGAAGTCACCTGTGACAGGTGCCAGGTAAGATCACGTCTGCTTCTAAGATTCTTATGCAAAACTATATTTGCTTGAAATCAGGATGGATGTTACAATATCAGGTTTTATTTTTACTTATTACTTACGATGGCAGCACGCATAGGGAAATGCATGTGGAGAGCCTAAGTGAGAAAGCATGTAAATTAATTTAATTTTACGGAACATATTAGAATTGATTATAATCCTTTCTCATGTTTATCCACTTTATATTACTCTTTTTTTCTACTTTCTATTGTGAGACCTACCTGCTGTATTTATGTTGGGCATGACATTTTTTTTTACATGAAATGCAAATTGGCATAAATAAGCAGTTTACTTTGACTTTATATATAGAAATCAAAAGTCAACAGATTGTCATTCATTTCTGTGACAGTATGTTTGTAAGAACAAAGTAAGTGTGCACTATAATTAAACGTACACTGTTAATGTTTACGTAATAAATAAGACATAGAGAAGGGTTCATCTAAAGGATGAGGGTTTAGAGAAGATGTGGTGCCAGCATGTGTCCTGGGAGCTCAATAACAAGTGGGCAATGCTCAAAACATTTGTAAAAGTTCATAATCACATTTTAATGGGCCTTGTTTGAGATATTAGATCTTTAACCTCAAACAAGATTCAATTATTTTTGCAAATACATTTTCTATTTTATTTTACTGACAGTATTATATTGAAATGATCATTTATGGGTTATTAAAAACTGTCATTGTTGTAATTTGATTCTAATTGATCAACTAGGCAAAGTTGTTCGCTGGAAAGAATTTAGGGCTATTAAAAGTACGGGTTGGGCGTTTTTACTATTCAAAAAGCACAAAAGAAATGATTCTAGTTCTTTTTTTTTATAGCTCACTTTGAGATCAGCTGCACTTACAGAAAAGAAAGTCAAACCCCTCACAAATGGTCATTTTGGAGTGGGTTGTCATGGAACAAGTGCCTGGGCAGGTTTTGTTCAATTCTGTGTTTATTGTAGGTACTTTGGTCCATCTCTGTCCAGAGCTGTCCACTTGTGACTGGATCACCCAGGGTGCATAACACACCTGTTAGACACAGTGTATTTATATGTTGTTTTTCTGGGGTTTTCTTTTCACACTATGCCTGAAAATACAATCGATTCCTCTATATTTCTGCAGATGTGAGGACACCGAAGAAAAAAAACCTTAAAGTTATAGACCCCAGGGTAAAACTTTTTTTTAATTTACTTTTCATAACAAGTCTATAAACTCAGCCCACTGAAATATAACTACCCGCTTATACCTTTCTTCTAATGTGTTTTCCTTTAAATGTCATTTGTTACCTTGTTTGCATCTGATTCCTTTAGTCTTAACACAATCTTTCAAACAGGACTGAAAACACTGTGCTTAGAATACATTTTTACTTTTAGAGACACTATATTTGTATCGTTCATGGCTCTAGTCTTAAGTCAAAAGTGCAACCTGTTTCCACAGGATGCCTTACTCCCCAGCCTCTTGGCAAATGCTCATCATTGCTAACCGTAGACAGTACTATTCAATAACTTAACACTAAGATACATGTGTTTGCATGTATTTACGTGTGCGTGTGTTTGTGTGCGTGTAATAGATCGGCAACTGATGCAAACAAGGTCATATGAAATACTTTCCTCATACCTTACACTACAGTCATTTTTCTGCTCTAACCTATGACTCTGCTCCTATCTGCCCTTCCTGCAATTCCCATGGTCGCTGTTCAAATAATACACAATACATCCACATCTCCACAGACGTTTGCAGTCACCACTGATTTGAGCTTGGTAAGAACAGGAACAATAGCTTTCCTCTTTTCGCCAACCTACACTGATAAGTGATCAGTGCTGACTTCAAATAGTTGAGGATGTATTTGAAGAAGTATTTGAACACGACTGAACTATAATGGTGTGTTATGTAAAAACAGTCCTCCAATGACCTTTGTATTAATGGTTCTGTTAATGACTTGTTAATGACAAGTCATGAGTATTCCAGGGAGAAGAGTCTTTTCATCTATTTTAAGATTCAGACCAATTGTGTTTTTTCCAGCGTTGGACAATAACACATTTTTAGAGGATAATACCTGTATTGATTTTAGAAGATGTTATAAGAGTTAACAGAGTTTCACATTTGTGTGTTGCTACCCACTTGTAAAAGGTTACACAGTTAATAGACTTTGTAGAATTATTCAGCATAGTGGTACTAGTTTTTGCTATTTTACTGTTGCAATCTCATTGAAATATTTCCTGGCTGTTAAACTCAGACACAAATGTTTTGTTGCTTCCGATAAGTTATACTTTTTTTGTTGTGGTACTTTTCTATTGGTAATGATTTGGTAATAAGACAATTGTTTTTGGTACAAAACTCGTTTAGTACACCGAACAGTACACTTCTCATTCACAAGTAAACACAGCTGCCCCTCATGTGCATACAGTTCTGGAAGAGGAGCCCCAGCATCCCTGAGTGTGTTTTGTGATTTCTCGGACCAAGAAGAACCAACACCAACAACAACACATGTGGCTCTATTTTATGACTCGCTGCCACATTGATGGCAGATGTTGTTTTTTTTTGTTTTTTTTGTCTTGTACTTTCTGACAGTAACTGTTTGCATTGGATCTTCGTGGTCCTCCGGGCTTTGGATGGGATCCACAGGGTTTGGATTGTTTTTGTGCCTTGCATCAAGGCTTGACCAGTTTGCTGTTTTGTTCCTGGTGCGGGGGCCCATTGTCTTGATGTGCAAAAGGCTACAGCTTTCAGTGGAATCCTGCTGTGGTAGCGGAAAGGTGCTTGGTTTGCTACCATGTTTAGTGACTTGTGTAAAGTAGCATCCAAATGAATTTCAAAAGTTTGTTGCACCATGTTAAAATCTTCAATGTTATTCACCTCAGATGTCAGTGGTTTTAATGTTGCGGCTGATATGATGATGACAGGAATAGTTTACAACTTGGTGAAATATAACTATCGATCACTGCCAATGTGGATGTGAAAGGTTGTTGCGATATCACAAACAAAAAATTTAATGTAACACCTAATTCTCCTGTGCTTACCGTCCCACCATCTCCGTTTGGACAGTTAATTGCCTTTGGCTGTGACAAAGATTATCATGCACACCATTATTTCTCTCTCCGCCTCTCTGCATCTGCATTTTGTTACTCATCACTTACTGGAGCATTTCCCGTATAGCGCAGGCATCCCACCACTCATAACTGTAATATTTCTCCAACATTACCATCCACTCTGTGCTCCCCTAAAAACCATACTTCTGTATTTTGTCTGTTTGCAATAGCTTTTGGAGGATAAGATATTTGTGGTTCTCTTTTGATTTTGTTTGTTTTCCTTGGTTTTCTGTTCCTTGTTGTTAATGTAAATTGCATAACTTTGTGTTGTTTTTCCAGTGTTTGTGTTGAAGATGGCCATGATCCCTGACTCTCACTTAAAGTACTTTATATGTTTCTTAAACCATGAGTAAGCAGAACACAATTTCTATTTCTTGAAGACAGACACATGCGTTTATATTCCTTGCACACGATGCATTGCTACACATGTTATTACATAGTATTTTCTTGTATGTGCAAGTATCAAAACTCCAAAAGTCCAGAGACATGTGCCTTCCCTATTTGTTTCTTTGTGAGTTTGTTTTTCTTTGTGCAGTGTTTTATATGTGAATAGTGTGCTCATTTCTCTCTCATGTAGCCCACTGGTCAGACCTTCCACTGCTGAAACCTACTCTGCTGTCTTGCTGTCATCCTAACAAATCAATTACGCAACCTCAGAAATGTACAAGCACACACATACACACACGTACACTAAAATAGTTACATGCACACACACACACACATGTAAAACATGTCCAAGAAAGCAGAGCAGGCGGAGGCAGATGCTCTGTCTGGCTGGCAGGCTGCATCTCATTGAGTGATGCTAACATTCTCTCCCATTGCTCTCTCTCTGCTCACCTTGCATGCTCCGCCCTGCTGCTCTGATCTGATTGGTCTAGAACTGACTGTGCGCCCAGGAGGGCAGGACGACTGTGTAAGTGCGCATGGAGCTCATCTCATATCTGTCGGCTCCCCGTAGTCTGATCATTTTCTTTAGCCAGTGTGCTGCTAAGCTACCTCTGTTCCTTTATACACTTTAATTTGGGTATCATTCATTTCAACACACATGCGATGATGGGTAACTCTTGCTAAGATGCATGAATAGCACAGACACCACTTCTGTAAATCTTGGTCACATTTAAGTCTGACTTCTCTCTTTGTCCTTCATTTCACTGTAGCAGACTAAAATGTCATGTTGGCATTAATTTCCGAAGCATTCCAGTTTCTAACCACTCTTCCATCCAGTAGATTGACAGTGTAGGATACTCCATGACACATTTCATGCCTTTACTATTTTCTCAACAATATGTGGATGTATAAATGTGGAACCACAATCATTTTTCTGTGGATGAAAGAAACTGGAGTAACTCACATTAAGCATCATATCTCGTCTGCTAAAGAATGACCGTTACTTCTATTTATGAAATTGTTTTCCTCAGGCGACAAATGATAAGATTGGGTTGGTTTGTTTCAGTTTTCTCCATGATGGTTGTCTACGGTGCTGAATTAAGGCAGAGCATAGAGCGCATACAGTGTTGATCTTATTGAATAAAGAAAAAGAGTCCAGTCTTCACATTAGCACATTTAAAAGATTAGAAATATGTAATCTGTTCTGCTTGTTTGTTGTAATTCTTTACTATTCATGGGAAAAAATTAGCCTGTGATTTTCCTTTATTAGGATGAAATGCTAAAATGTACATTTAAAATTTTACTTTTGGATCAGTGTTCTATGCCTGTGTGTGTTTGTGTGTGTGTGTACGAGCGTGCAGATGGATTGTGGTATGTTTTGTATTAGAATTCAGCATAATTAGTTCAGTCTGACGATAATTTTTGCATAAGCGGAGTTAAACGGCTGGATGCGTTCATACATTTGAAGTACTTGCATTTGTTGGTCACAAAGAAGCATTTCAGGGAGGCAGATCTAACAGGAAGTACCTTGAAGTTCATGAGACAAAAAAGACAAATAAAGAAGCTTTCTAAATGACGACTTAAAGTTTTAAATGTCACCAGTGAAATCATCTTTCTGCTTCTCTCTCCTTGGAATGTGCAAGTAGTTAGATCTAACAAACCTTAACCTTTGTTACCAGTTTAAAGAATAACCCTTTGCTCAGCCTCTTCCTTCCTCTTTCCTGACCTTCCTATCTTCTATTAACATTTCCTAAAGTGTCTCTCTCTGTGTCTCCGCCAGACTTTTCAGCAGCCTAGGTGAACTCCACACCATTTCTCAGAGAAGCTATGGAACCACATACACCATCCGCCCTGGCAGCCGTTACCCAGTAACCCGACGCACGCCCAGCCCAGGCTCTCCTGACCGGGGCGATCCCCTTGGACGTTTCTCGGGCTTCGGCTTGCCCACCTCACCAACTACGCCGCCACAAACCATCCTTAAGTCCTCTAGTCTTAGTTTACCGCAGGAGCCTAAAGAGGTGCGCTTTGTAATGAGGAGCTCCAGCGCCCGCTCCCGCTCTCGCTCTCCATCACCTTCCCATTCCCCCGGGCTGGGCTCCCCGCTGTTAGCCCTCCGGCCCTTCCACCAGAAGCCCCTCCACCTTTGGAATAAGTACGACGTCGGGGACTGGCTAGAGAGCATCAATCTGGGCGAGCACAGAGCAGGCTTTCAGGAACATGAGATCGAAGGCTCTCACCTCCCGGCTCTGACCAAGGATGACTTTGCAGAGCTAGGAGTGACGCGAGTGGGACACCGCATGAACATCGAACGAGCACTAAAGCAGCTGCTAGAGAGCTGACCCCTGCCCTGAATCAGAGCAACAGAGGGACCTGGAAACAGACTTGCAGAGCTGATGATAATGTGAAAAACAATAGGGACCACTCCTCTTTTACTCTAGCTGCTTTTGTTTTTAGTCTTAAAAATATCCACCTGTGGTTCAAAGCAAAAAAAACACTTGGCCTTGAACCGCAGAGGAGGAGTCAACACATTCATTCCCCTCTGCTCAGCTTTCACTGCTTGGCCCACATTCATGTCTGCAACCAATGAGATCAGACCTCAAAATGATATCTGGTATTTTTCTTTACTGCTTTTTCCCAAGGACAACCACATAAGCAGCAATTAGAGATTTGATTTGTAAAAAAAGTTTGGTTGTTTTTATATGTAACACCCACACTTTTCGACCGTTTCCTCTCTACCTCTCTCCACCCTTTTATTAGGTCTCTAAAGGCCTTTTGCAGTTTGAGTAAAGGAGGAGGAAGAACTTTTGGTTCCCAAAAGAAATGTCAGCTGCCTTTCAAAATATTTATACAGAAATTAGCAATGATGAACGCACAGCTCTGAAAAGGTTTATCTTCTGAATACCTGCTGTCATTTTTAAACCGAAGACTGTAGAGCACAGAGGTGGAATGAAAGGAAACCCCTCTGCCTTGGTACCCAGAGTGTGCTATCTATTATATTTGGAGAATGTTCAACCAACACTCGTGGCTTTTTTCATAATCAATTTTTTTGGTTTTCCAAAGGGAACATAAATATATATATATATATATACACACACATAGGTAATATATAAGATAATATATGTATCAAATATAGCTTTCAGAAGAAAAGACAATGTTGCAAAGATGAAATGTTATATATGAATCTGCGCCTGTTTTGTTTTTTTAGAATAGAGCAGAGACATTTTTAAAACTATTACACCTTAGTTTATTCACTTCTTCAATATATATATATATATATATATGAAGATATACATATCTTCATATGAAGATATACATATATAAGAAAAAATACATTTGAAAAAGAACATTTTGTCATACGTATATAACTTTTCTTTCTGGTTACCCTTTTCTGGAACCGTAGCATGATGATTTAAATAATTTCTTTTGATTAAATGTTTGTTTGTTTTTTTATTACGGTCTTCCATCATACTAAAGGGCATCCCAAAATGTGAGGCTAAGACCCCAGCTGACACCCATCCCTCCTGCCTTCGCTACAGATCTTGCCTTTTTCGATTTGAACAACACACTGTGAGGGCAACTGCTGAGCCAGGTAATTGGTTAAAAGGCAGATCCTCATTGTAGGTCTGTTTATAACTCAGGGATGGAAGTTTGAGGCACTCACAGATGGAGGTCGGCGGCTATGTTACGTTTTAATCATTGTGTTTAAATACAACCAAACACCGCGTTCTGAAAATTGAAGGAGAGTTTGTAAAATTTCCATCCCTGCTGCCCCTGATAACGCCTCTGTGACCAGTTTACACAAGATTTGGGATTAAATCAGTCAGATAACATAAATCTTCATGGAGTCAGAAATGCCACCGCAGGGCATGTGTAGTTCTTCAGGCTGTGGGGATGGGAAAGCTTATGTTAGGTCTAAAAGAAAATGTCAGTATTGTACAACCAGACAGACAGCTGCCTCCCTTTATCTCTCCCATTGTCTCAGTGACAGAAATATCAACAACTAGCGGCAGCCAGAACTCTCACAATGAGAGATTGTTATAAGGTTGTAGAACCACACAAAACTGATATTTTCTTCCGCAATTCAAATCTACAATTGTACACATGAGAACCTTCTGTTGGTGGTGAGAAACAGTGAGTTTTATTCACGCAACAACACAAAAGCATTTGGGCATAGCTGCTCGCTGACACGAAGAAAAGTCTGTTATTACGAAAAAACCTCCGCTCATCAGCAAAAACTCCTGTGAGCCTTCCCTTTTTTTTTGGTTTGCAGTTTGGAAAAGCGGGTAGTGAACAAATCATTACATCTGGGTTGTAGGAATAGCACTCACTGCCTCACTGTGACCTCACTGATTATTTTACTTTTGACTCCAGTGTTACGTCCTCAGATTCATGAGAACCTTTTTGTTCTATTGCTCTTTAGTTGTTAATGATTTGTTACCCTCGGCCACTGTGGGTAGATTTTGTAGCGTTTGGAACATGACATTTAAATCTTTCACTCATTTGAATTTTAGAGTGACAGAAAAAAAAAGACTGAAAAAAAAAATCCTGTCCAACCTAAACACACGTACTCTTGTAAAAATGAACAAACTACGAATATTTGCTTTTTTTAATTCACAAGCTATGTATATATGATAGATTTCATATAAATTTTTGAAGAACTCAAAGTATATAGATCTATATATGAATGTTTGGCATATATGCATAGTTAACCACCTGTGGAAAGGTGAGCAGATTTTATTCTTTCTATGAACTCTTGAACTTTTGAACTCTGAACTATGAACTAGGGGAAGATTTGCACAAAACAAGGTGACAAGGTGCTAACATAAAAGCCACCCATCATTCAAGCGCATGTGTGCATCTGGATTCCCTGAATCTCTCTGTGCGATTGTTCCTCTTCACTGTGCGTTTATCTGTGTTTGTATGCGTCCAAATGCTTGATTCCATTTTGTGTATCTATTCGGGAGCAGGACATTGAGAATGCGTGTGAGTGGGAGAGTGCAGTTAATCGTTAGGGTTTACATCTCTGGAGTTAGTCCACTATAGCCTTACTGTACCATCAGACTGCTGGCAGTGGCTGTATCACACAGATACACACACACACACATACAAATGGAAAAATGCACACATTTTTCTGAATTCACCCTCAGAATTTAAGCTCATGGTTTTGCTTTCCTGTTTCGTGCTGGGTTGTATCTTCAACAATTGGACTGATCTATTACAGACTGAGGGATTAGCAAAATGATTCATTCAAACAGCCACACTTAATATTGCAAGACTAAAACAACTCACCTTGTAACTGTGTTGGTACAGCTGATGCAGCACCTCCGTTTATCTAGGCTCATCCTCTGATGGCACTGGCACTCTTTTCCCTCCACTCTGTCAGGCAGCACTCCTTTTTCGTTTTTCAGACCTTCAGTTTCTGAGTTTCGGGATTGCTGTATGAAGTGATCCAGTGATGAACAAACAACACAAAGGAAAAAATGTGCCAAAAAGTAACTTAACTTTTAAATGTGTATTTGTCTTTGCTTTAGGACTATCTTAGTTGCAGCATACGTTGCAGCATTAGATTAATATGACAATATGGTGCCATCTCCTGGAAATCTTGAGAACATTTGTTAGATCCTTCTGTATTTCCCTGCAGGTGGACATACAAATATTACTTTATGAAGAAGCAAGCTATATATTTATCTACACACACACACACACACACACACACACACACACATATATGTGTATGTAAGTGTATGTGCATACATACACACACACACACATATATACACATATATGGCTGGCATCTCTGTTTATCTATTTGCATTAACAAAATTTGAGACAAAGTAACAGAATTGCTTGATTTGATTAATGAGGGTTGTTGTGATAAACACAAATGACGCATGAGGAATGAATGTGTGGTCTGATCTCAGACACAGGCTGGCCTGTTTAGAGGAATCAATGCTGTAGTAGAAAAACTGGTGTGTTGTGTAACTTTACAGCAAATAAAAATGCAGATTGAGCAATTGTGAAAGACGTACACATCATTAGGGCAACCAAGTTCAACGGAAAGTTAACTTTGTCTTATTTTTTAAAAGAAACAAAGCACAATCTACACAGTGTAGGAGGAGCAGTTTGACCTTTTTAAAAACCCACTGGTGTCCGGTGAACGACTGGAACCAGTGATCTTATCATCAAAGGTTTCTTTTTCTTTTGTTGTTGGTTTTTCTTCTTGTTTGCACTGTGAAGTTTAGAACGGTGGATGTATCACTGCAACACCTCAGCCTTGTATCTCACATGAATTTCTCCGTCTGAGCATCCGATGACCAGGCGGCTCATCCGTGACTGCTCACTTTGGACTTTTAGTATTAGAAATCTTACATTTCAATACAAAACCCAAACTAAAATATAAGTTAACCAGAAGCTACCTAGTATTTCTCATGCAGTTAGGGCAACAATAAAGATTGAGGCAAGATCTGAGATGTTGCCCAGGATATCTCCACCACAGAGATATATGTTTGTTATATTATGTAATAAATTTATAATTAAACATAGAGTGTGTCATATTTGTGTCCCTGCTTCTGTGTGCCTTATTCTAGAAACTGTTTCAGTGCAAAAAGTCTTCCGAATCCCTCCTGGTGCTTACAGTCCTCCAGATATTACTTACAGTTTTTGAACAGTGACCGTGAATTTGTTGTCACTTGTCATTAAAACTGAAGGCTGGTGTCTCTGGGGCTCATACAAATATGCAGGTGCAACCAGCTATTTTAAAAAAATGTTTTTTTAATCTGCATTTGAAAAAATTTCCAAGGTACCATATTTCTGAAAGTGATGTATCTGCTTACAGTCCTTTCTGCTTGAATCTTTCAGGGTAAAAACAAAATAGAGTATTCTGAAGCTGAAATCATTAACTTTTTTTCATTATAAGGAAAGAAAAATCTCAAACTGAAAAAAGAAAGTAAAGGAAAGTAAAGGACCTTCCTGTCTGGTTTGAGTCTTTGCCTGCAAAGACAGCACCGGGCGTTCAGTTTCAGAACTTTTTTATTTCTAAAAAGAATCACAGAGAAGTGGACGGCTTTTGGACAGATAGAGGGGAAGAACCAAGAGTCTTCAAACAGGAGTTATAGCTGCATTCATATGATCCAAATGTGTCTACAAATCATCACAAAAGTTTAGCATTTGGCCCTTTTTTACATTTGGTGGTGGTCAGCACCATCACCTCACAGCAAGAGGGTTCTGGGTTTGAGTCCCCGGGGGACCCAGGACCTTTCTTGGTGGAGTTTACATGTTTATCCTGTGTCTGCGTGGGTTCTCTCCGGGTTCTCCAGCTTCTTCCAACCATCCAGAAACCTGCATGTTAGGTTGATTGGACATTCCAAATTGCCCTTAAGAGTGAGTGTGCGTGGTTGTTCGTCCTTGTGTGTCTCTGTGTGGCCATGCAATGGACTGGTGGACCGTCCAGGCTGCACCCAGCCTCTCACCCACTGACCACTGGGATAGGCTCCTGTCCCCCAGCGACCCCATTAGGGAATAAGCTGTTATAATAAAGAATTGATGGATGAATTTTAAGGAAACATGTGGTCCGAAACCTAGTGCCGTTCAAAAAAAATTGATTCTAAGCAGCTCAGTTTAAATAACTTCCACCCAAGTGGTGACCAAACCACTATGGGTCACTGCGTTTCTCCTTAAACAAGACCGGCAGCTCTTCCTTATGAAATGCTGATGTTCAGTTTACTATGCAGGATCAGAGCAAGATGAGAAGAGTCGGGCTGACAGTTCGGTTATATGGTACATTAAGCTTACATTTACAGGGTGCTAAAAAAACTGAATGCACATCATGAAATGAATACACCAAAAGCAGCCAACGGACACAGCCGCCTGCTGGCACTGCACACAACATCACACACAAAACACTGAGAACAGCAGCAAATACAGTTCAGAATTGCACATTCTCTTCACGGTGCCAGTTGTCATTGCTTCACATTGTTGGTTCATGAAAGTAACTTTTTCTCCACACTTCAGTAAATATTCCATAACAGATACTTAGTTCAAAGTATGAATGATGAGGCTTAAAAGGAGGGAACCTGATACACGATACAAACCCCATTTAAACAAGCTCAATTTTCCAGCTTTTCTTACTACACAAAAAGAAGGCAGTGACCAGAATCATGCCAAAACAGCTAGAGTTATCATCCCATAATTTAAAAAAGCAGAAACGTCATAAGTACATGTATACTACATGTATACTACATGTACTTATGGTGGTAACAGTGACAAAAAAACAGAACATTCTGATGCAAACTTAAAGCAAGATAGATGAACCATTACATAATTTGAGGATTTGGTTCACCAGGGAGAAAAAAGCTGTTAAACTAACTCTGGACTTTCTGCTTGTAATCCATCCTCATCTGCCTCTGAGTTATCTTCTTTCTTCTCCAGTTCAAAGTTCTGTGAGGGATGTGTGACAGAAGGAGGTCAATAAGCACATCTGTATACATCTGCCTTTTCCAGATGAGGACACATTTAAAAACAGATACACACCTCTAATTCCTGCAGCACTTCATCCATGAAGTCACTGGGGTTTTGCTTGTAGTCCACGGCTCTTTTGATCATTTCTCTGAACATCTAATGCATGAACACAAAGTGGTACAGCTTCGGGATTATGTTGATCTGAAGGATTTCTGAAAGCAGTGCTGTAAAATCTACATGATGTGAGGTTAAATGTTAAACTATCAAAATAGAATAATGAAGTGCTGGGGAAAACTGTGTGGCATCACAGTGTACTATATTGATGGGAAGCAAAAAACACACTCATACCTTCACCACGTTGGTCCCATCGGCTGCAGAGACAAAGTAAAACGGGAGTCCTTGTTTCTTCCCAAAATTGAAGCTTCTCTGTGTCACTTTCAAATCAGCTGAGGATGGGGGAAAAACAGTTTACAACAGCACATCTAGATCTTATCTTTTCTGGTAAAGCACAAACTAATGGGAATTTCAGGATACCAAGAGAAATCAACATCAAATAACCCTAGCCCACACTCACCATCAATTTTGTTGGCGACTACACAACAGGGTATCTCTGGTCGGTACTCTCTAAGCTCCTTATACCAGTTTGTTAAATTCTTATAGGTGATCTTCCTTTGTACATCAAAAACCTGAGGAAAACAAAGGTTGACTGATAAGTTTAGCTTCCTTTTATGACTGTGTAAACAGTTCAACCAGTAAAATACAGAAATTCTAACTTGACTAATCAAAAGCATTTGTTATTATAGAATGAAATGGTAAAAAAGTGGCCTTAAAAAGTTGGGAAAGGGACAGGAAATTGCAATAGGTGGTACAAATACGAAATGTCTCATGTGCAGTAACTATGAACATTTCAATAACTAAAGTCTATATCATCATCAAGAGATTATCTTAATCTGAAGATATCTCTGCGAGCAGGTGTTCCCCAACTTTTGAGGCTTGTAGCTGTTATCAACTTCAAGTCATTCTTTCCTAAAATACTGAAAGAAACTGATAGTGGTCCACCCTACCATTATACATGCATGTGCTTTGTGGTAGTATGAAGGATGCATGCTCTGAAATCTCTCCTGACCAGCAGTGTCCCAGAAATCTGTAGATCAACAACAGGTTATATTCTCATATGACATATGATTTTTTTTGTTCACCTAATTTTCAGCTGTTTCCTCAAAACCGTACCTCACAGCAGATCAGGGGTGAGCATGCACCTACCTACAGCTATTGTCTTGTTTCCTACAGTTGCGGTGTGTTTGTAGAGAGTCAGCGCATAGGTTGACAACTGTTGAGGACGACTGCAGGACGTGTTTAGGATATTTGCTGATTTTTACCACAAAAATAGCTAAAACAGATGCAACTTCATATAGATTTTGCTTCATTTGGAAACTGTGAAAGGATACTATTCATCCAATAGAAACCTCTCCATCAGCCTGTGAACAGAAGGACAGTCAGTGTCACCCAAGTTTTTTATAATAAGTCAGCGCATAGGAAGAAGAGCAACATTTCCAGTACATCCAGTACTTACTTAGATTTACCAACTGCACTGTCTCCCAAACAAATTATCTTCACTTGTGCATCTGCATCGTATTTCTTCTGATCCATTTCAGGGATGCTGCCGACATCGTCAGCCATTTTTCTTCGAGCCCTCTGTAATTTCTAACAAAAACCTGAGAACAATAAAGTGGAGTTCCTCAAACGTTTATGTTGGTTTGATACCACTGATAATGTTAGCTAGCTTCCCGTGGAAGAGCTAATGTTAACATAACTCCCTCTTTCTTTAAAATTCCATTCTTTAACCGCTTCGTTTGTGCTTAAGTTAATTATATTAATCCTCCTTGAAACAGACCGTTACGGGTTACATTTGTCCTGCTAAAGCTGCTCAGTATCTATGGTAACTTTGACGGTTGGCTCAAAGGAGCTGAAGTAAAGCCAGTTAGAGGCTATAGCCGCAAACGAAATTATGCATAACAGCGCCCGTTTGTGTCTTTTAACGTGCTTGATAGTCGTAGAACAAAAACAAACTCAACGATGTACTTTACTAATCATAATACTAAAACACTGATACGCTAGAGACGTACGATGCCAAATAAAATTTCTGTTTCTATGCAACGGAGACGCTCGTAGGACCAATGCGCTTGCCACTTGTTGTCCTTGTGGTTGCCTGACTAAAATTCTGAAAGGTTCTAAATGCTTTCGCGTCAAAAGGTTTTATTGTTTTTATTGATTTGACTATTTTTCGTACATTTCTCTGCGTCCAACTAATTCAATATACTTTAACTGATTTGGACAAGTAAGGAAAATAATAATTTTTCAGTTTTTTCGGGACGTTTGCAGCGATGACTTTAGAATTTATATATCTTTTTATACATATTTTTTAATTATTTACGTTTTGTTGATTTTTAGTTCTCATTCAAATTTACAGGAAATCCTTCAAAAGTTTGATCTCTTTCAGCATAGATTAAGCAAGAAACATCATTAAATTTTAAAACGGGTGTGAAGGTATTGATCAGGCAAAATAATCTACAGTACTTCTTAAATAAATGTGCTTTGGGTGAAATTAGAGCAAACATACATATAATGCTCTGGCTTTCTTATTTTTTTCCAGTTTGGGGTCGCAAATGACGCAACATAGGTGACTGCCATTCTAAAACTGAAGTGAGTTCTTTGGGGTAATTTTTTATTTTACTTTTAAAAACGTAAATTCATTTTTAATTTTCTTTTATCAGTTTTCTTGTTTCATCATTTTATTTTCAAGTCTTTTTTCATTTAAAAAATCGTATTTTTTATTTTCAAATGTGTTTTAAATTTGATTTTTCTTGTCCTCACAAATACTTTTTTTTTTCAATTTGAATCTTCATCATAATAACAATTGTCATGATCCGGGTCACAGGGACATGTCATGTTTACATGAATCAGCTGTCTTTCACAATTTCAGTTTTACACTTTTCCTTTTGCATTCTTTACACAATAAAATTTTCAGCTGTTTTCTGATCCCTTCCAATTTTTCGGTCTGTCTCTGTTCTACATTTAAGATCAATGTTCTTGATTCCTTTTACTTTTTACCTTTTTCGTGAGAACTCTTCATCTCTGTGTTGAAATTATCTTCACCTGTGATGTTTGTTCTTTCCTGTTCAGTTGACATATACATTACATATCAGCCTTTTCGAATAAGTCAGCGGAAATCCAATGTATTTCCCTCTTTTTTTTCTTTTACCTTTCAGCTTAATCATTGTCTTTCAGTGCAGTCATTCTGTATTTTCACTGCTGTTTTGTAGGAACAGCTCTTACTAGTTGAATGACTTTTACACTAAATAAGAATAAAAAGAGTGTACCCATGTGCATTAAGAACAAAAAATGACACCATCACCTTTTTTTTTTTATTCTAGCACACTTTAAACAATGTCTACCATCTTATGCAGTTCCATTCATATTTGCTTTATTTTTTCACAAATATACTATTTATGGTAAGAATGTCAATCGGCTGTATTGTTACTCTGATGCATTCCAAACCCTTTAGGAGGGATAAGATCCAAACTCTGTGGTTACTAATGATTTCAGTTTAACTTGATTTCTAAACCTAATGTTAGTGCCTTCAGTAAAGTCCTTAAATACTTTGTTAACTTGATAAAGGCCATTAAAGAGACACATCTTATCAACGAGAGTGGGAAGTTATTTAAGCACGGTTGTTTAAGGAACCAGAAACTTCTCGCCTTCGCTGAGTGTTAGAGAAGTTGTTGTAGTTTAAAAGTATTAATCACTGACCAAGAACACATCAATCCATATTCAAAATAAGGGGTGCGATGTACTGGGAGTGACGCAGCCCAAAGGTGTAGCTCGGTGCTTTTGTTCTTGTAAAAGTCACCTAGGATGGAAAAAGTAATAAAGTAAATCAACAAAGTTTATTCCTGAGACCTTTTGGTCAAATAAGATTTCACTTACTCTTTCAGGATAATGAGATCCGGGACCTGGTTTCTCTTTCGTTTCATCAGGAGCAAAGTGGCGTCCCACCATGCTGTACTGGGGGGGTTTCTGCCTGTAGAGACAGGGATCGACAGCCTCATATGCAGCTGGTCCTGGAGTCTTCAGCCAAAGCCGCGGAAGAGAGAAAAACAACATCAAGATGTATATGCAGCATGTGTATGCACACACACATATGCATGAACGTATGTACCTTCTTTAGGTCCTCATGGAAGCTCCCAGTTTTGCTGCGGCTACAGAGTGTGTAAGAAGGTGCTGAAGCTGCAATCACAGTTTTGGGCCCCAGCATAGGGGGCAGAGTGTAGGTGGCTGGACCTGTAAAAGGAGTAAAAAATACAGTTTATTGACATGTTTTCTTAGTAGAGAGTCTGATGTTTTTCTCTGCTTATGGATAAAGTTGACAGCAAATATTTGCCTTACCCGGCGTCTGGTTATCACTTCCATCTCTGCCCCTCCCACACAGAGAATAAGCCGGAGCCGAGCGATAGGTCAGCCTTCCTGAACGCTCCGGGGAGTAGTGCCCTGAGACACAACAGCTGTGTGAGAAAGCCAGCAACATGAACTGCATTTTAACAAAAATCAACAGTTTTTGTGTTCTTAAGAACATCTGTTAAAGTGTTCACGGGGCCTCGCTGACCCGGTCCAGGGGCTCTGAAGTGCTCAGCCTGCTTTGGGCGGCCGTGGAGTGAGAATGCAGGTGAGCCGTCTCGGCCCTGTCGGGTAATGTTGGAGGGAATTAAATATCTTGGTCCAGGGGAGCAGTTATTGTTTGCGCCCTCATGACGTGCCCCGAAGGAGAACACTGGTGCTTTGCATTTAGTCGGATCATGCTGAGAAATACCTTTATGAAAGAACAAAAGCAGTCCAATGTTACTTATTAAACCCAATGATGGGGCAGTGATAAAAATAGCTAATTTAGTCTTTACCTGTGAGTCCGGGCAGGGCATACTTAGGCCCTGGGCTACAGTAAAACGCAGCTATAGGTCCCCTCGGCTTGTGGGGTCTCCAAGTTCCAACCCAAGGTTCAACACTTGGCATTGCCTTGAAACATTGATTGGATTTTCAAGTAAAAAATAAAGAAAGATACATAAAGAAATTACATTAATTCTTAATATTATTAATTATAATCTCTTAAACATACACTATATAAGCTTTGTTGTTCTCTCATGGGGAAAGTTAGCCAGCTGTTTTAGCCCTAACCCGGCAAATTAAAACTACTAATCCTTTACAATTACTTGTTTTAAAAGAGGCTATAAAAAATATTCAAATAATTTTGATATTAGGAATGAACATCCAGTTCTGTAGATTTGGTTCTCTCAGGTTCTGACTCAGGCGAAGTGCATCAAACAGTAACAGGAAAGTAGCCTCACAGGAAACAGCGACTTTGACATTTTTAACTATCCACAGAATTGTGTAATTGTTGTTTCTTTCTGCTGGAAATCTAGATGCAGATTTTTGTTAAAGATTTGGATGGGTACAGCATGTCACCCATATGTGTCACACACAAAACAACTCAGCTCTGTCACAAAAAGCTGAAAATGGACGCAAAGAAGATTTGGATTTTTAGAAAGAGTTGTAGACCTGTACTGTGCTTCATCGGAATCAGCTAACATGCCCTACCTCTGCACAATGACCTATAACAAAACTAAATGATGTCTGTTACGAGTGTACAAACTTCTAAGTTACCTTACTGACTTGAAATACACAGAATTTCCTTTACCTCATAAAGTTTTCTATCCAGCTGCCAGTGTTGGTTTCAGGCTTTGCCCCCAGAACTCAGCATGTGCGCTGAACCCAAACTCAGATTGTTAAGCTCCTGTCAGTGTCACTATGGTAACATTGTCATGGAGATGACTCTTCGATAAGCACGTTCAGTGTGTGTTGAGTATGAATTTGTGGATAAACCGTGCCGGATTCTCATAGTTGAGAACACATACAATGCATTATGAAGGTCTTGTAAATGATTTATAAGGTCAGTGAGGCTGAGACCAACCAGGGGTCAAACTATGGGCATAGTGTTTGGGTTTAACCTGGGCACCAGAGGTAGTTCAAAACAATAATTAACCAAAATGTAACAGTCAACATGTTTTTGCTATCACATTCTAAGCGTCCACCTAAGATGCACGGACCTATGAGTGATTTTTAAACTTTTGGTTTACAAAAAGGGTGGAAGTCTGAAGAAAAAATAGCCATTTTAGCATCCTCTAAAGACTTTGTGCCACCTGTTCATATGGAGTAAAGTGTGTCTTGATGCAATCCAACAGCTTGTAGATTGGCCTTTAGCAATAGCAACTTTGAGATAATTGTTGTTTAGATGCTATCAATCACTCACATCATGTACCCTCACTCCCTCCATAAGAATTATGTAAGTAGCTGCTTCTGATGAAACTTGCATATTTGGTTGATGATTAGTGAGTAAGCGCATCTTAGTTGGAGCAGAAAGTTTGCTGGCCTGGAGCTTTCAGGTGTACGTTAATGCAAGGTGAAAACAACTCTAATTGTATCAGAAAATTTATTGTGCTCCCAGTCAATCTGGGAAGAGTAATAAAGGCATTTCCAAATAAGATGGAGTGATCAAAGTTGTTGACTTTTTTCTGATGGATGTCTCACCCAAAGGAGAAATCAACACCTAACAAATCCTGGAGCTCACAATTGAATCAGCTGTATTTAAGCATTATTTATTTGATACATGCCTTCTTATTCTACAATTACAAGCCAAAATGTCTCCACAGAGGGGAGATCTATAGTGCTTTTTGATTAGCGCACACTCAGATGCTTCAGATGCAATAAAAAAAGAAAGACAGAAAGAAAGAAAGAAAGAAATCTCTTTCAGTTGTAGTCTTTTTTGTCATTTTTGATTTGGACTTGACTCTTCAAAGAGTTGCACTGGTGCTGCAGGCCCTGGTGAGGTCACTGTAACTTTGGTAGGTTTCTCTCAAGCTGGCTTTCAGGACTCTCATCAGTGCTACGAGGCTTGTCATGTCCTCTTGGGGGCGCTGTTGATGGAAGATGAAATCATAATGAAGCTTAAACCGTGTGTATTTGGGGTAATTTGGGCATGGATGCTTTATCCTCTGTATCTTCACATGCCCTTACCCGTGTGAGTGCAGACATCAGCCTTTGGAGCACAGAATCCTCTCTGTGCGGACACAGACTGGTCACGGAGCTCACACAGCTCAGCAGACAGAAGATGGTGTGTCTCTGTGGCTGAAATGACGGAAACAGCCATGTCTGTCTTTTATTTTGTACCTTATTGAAAGTATTCAGTAATTTATGAAAAAAATCGGCAAATAACATATAAATGAGTGCATCACTTTGACCGTACCTTTTTGAGAACACTTAGAGGCTTCCTGTTGCTTCCCACAATGCTCAACTTCTCCACATCCTCAGGACTCAGAACTGGGTCCTGGACAAGAGTGGAACGAGTGGATTATATTGAGAGAGTTGTTTTCAGTTTTTATTATCGTGGAATTCTGAGTTATTTAGTTTAAGGTATGATTTAGTGTTACAGCCAATACTGATGATGCCACTGACCCTCAGTTTCTCCAGCCAAGTCCACAAGAGACAGCAGAGGACGTGAGGATCGGACTCTGTGACCAACAAAGCCCAGCCACAGTCACTGCTATTCAGTTCCTCCTGTTGATAGCATGGATGGCACAATGGATTCTGAGAGGTCAAAGTGATAAAAGATGCACTGATTTTGTAATATAATTTACCTGCAGAAGCGCCGACCTCTGCAGAATGGTGTCTCCCGGAGGACCGTATTCTGCCATTGCCTTTGCAACAGGGCGGGCCATTGATGTTGGACCAGGATTACGCATATTTCTACACAGCTTTGAAACATAGGTAAAAAAAAGTTTGAAGCATGTACACCAAATTTTCCGAGGTGTTTTTTTTTTTTCACGGTAGCTGCTGCTCACCTCCAGGTTGGAGCTGTATTTGGGAAGGGACTTTATGGTGCCGCACTTTGTCATTTTACCACAGCTGCTGCTTGTTCTCATATTAGACAGGGGGATGTTTGATATATGAGACTCCTTTTTTGTTGTCTGGTCACCTGATGAAAGTGTGCCGCAGACGGGACTAGCAGATGTCAGATCGGCTCGTATCAGATCCTGCACGCACCAGTGTTTCTCATTCCCAAGTGCTGCTCTGCAGTATGGACTCAGTTCAACATCCTTGCGGGCAAAATACATCAACATGAGATAAAACCCCCTGCAGAACGATTTAGACTCAAGAAGGAAAAAAATTCTTTAGGCAGGCTGCGAGATTTTACCTCGTTTACTGTCATCTTGCTGAGGTCGGATTCGCTGTAGCTCCGTTTGTCCAGCAACACCTCCCGCTTCCTCTCAAAGAACCCCAGCGGCTCGTCCCAGGAGGACACCGACAACGATCTTGCCCACGAGACCTTACGGCCCTCGTTCAGCAGGGGCAGATATTGTTTGGACACCAGAGTCTCTTTCACGGTCCTGCCCAGTGTCCTGAGCGCTGACCTCTTGTCCAACTCAACGTGGACTTCTGGGGGAGAGGGGAGGCCCAGAGCCAGGCAGGAGAGACGCACACACAGGAGGTATACCACCTAATCAGAAGAGGTCAGAAAGGGGGAAAAAAGGCTCAGTATCCTACACTACAGAGGTGTGTCAGCCTTAAAAGATTGACGACTGAGTCCAGACCTTGGGGGTGTGTCTGAGCTTGCGTGCCTCCTGGCCGTGCAAAAGCAGGGCCTGGCGGTTTAGGTAGTGCTGCAGGGTGAAAGGGGCCCCGTGCCGCAAGCTGAGGTCTGGATACTGAACCAGCTGGGTGGCAAGCAGGCGAGCAAAGTCGAAGACCTGGCTGATCTGCGCCCGCGTTTGGATGGAGCGCGGCCGCTTGATGCGCACGTAGTGCACGGCCTCGCTGGGGCTGATGCGCAGGGTGTAGATCAGGTAACAGGCTATCAGCACCCCTGCAGAGCCACAAGGCCACGGCGGTAAGACACGGCCAGCGGGTGTGGAAGCTGAGCCTGTTGGAGATCGCCTCACCTGTCCTGCCCAGGCCCGCGTGGCAGTGGACAGCCACACGTCCCTCATTTGCCGCAAAGGCGAGAACCTTCACCCCATCAATGATCCCCACAAGAGACGACACTCCAAAATCGGGCATCCCAAAATTATAGAAGTAAACTGCAAAGAAATGTTGGTAAATATGAGTGTATCATATTGATTTAGATGAGTTACGGGACACTGTGTGAGAGGTCCAGAGCAGCACACATATATAATCCACCTGATAATTACTGGTTGCCCTACTGACACAAATCCCAACAGTTCCAGTGTAATGTTCACTCACAAAATCAACAAAAAAGTTAAATTAATTCTGGTTTAATCTTTTTTATTTTTTTTATTTTATATGAAATCAAATTCTCAGTATAATAAGATCTTACTGTCATTGTCCATAAAGATCTGTGGAGAGTATGTGAAACCGCTCTGAAGGTCCAGAGGGGGTCCACAGTGAGCATGCTCCCCCGGCAGCTGCATATTGATGACCGATCGGATGTTTAACCTGGGACAAAAGACAATACCTGACCCTTGGTGTTTGTGTCTCAAATTCATTATATCATAACAATATTTGAGAGCTTTAACAGTGATGATAATTTACCAGAATCAAAGCCATGACATGCCTGAGCCTCATTTTACTCAACTGGTGTAAGGTTTGTGTTTTTCATTTAGACTTGTGGCCTCTTTGTTTTCAAAGTCCCTTTTCAGAACTCTTTAAGCTCAGAAAAATCTATCCATGTACCCCAAAATTGTACAAAAGCTATCATGAATTTAAAATGATGCTGGAACAGTGGCCTCTGCTGTAAGATCCCTTTAGATCAGGAAAAAATGAGGAAGCTTCTCTCTCTTTCTTACAGTTCACTGAATGCAGCAGTTCCTGCTTCTGCTGTGTTCCACCTAGCCTTAACTGATTCTTTCTTAGCTTACCGATTTCATATTTATGCTTGCTAGTAGTCAGAAATACTGCTGAGTGCTGCAGATAGTCTATGTGGAACATAGAGGTCATCTGATCTAACCTTTCTGAGACTTTCAGTGTTTCTCTGCAGGTTTCTCTGCAGGTTGCAGGTTGATTCTGTAATCCTCAACAACAGCTGCTTTTCCTCACAATGTTTTACAATTCTCAACAGTTTCCATTTAACGGCAGGGATTTAGAATGCATTGCATCAGTGATGTCCTCAGAATGCAGATTAATACGTGAGAATAATTCAGAGGAGTCATTACCTTTGAAACTGATCTATGATGTTGTACTTGTTGATCAAATGGTTGGATGGTCGTGCCATGGCAATGATGTCATCCGTCACCCTGTGATGATTAGAAATATATGAGTGAATCTCACCTTCTTTTCTCAACTGTGGCTCACACGATTTCAGTTTCTCACCAGGAGGAGAAAAGGCCTCGAATGACTTGTTGGTTTAACTTCCAGCAATCTGGTCCCTCATAGCGACAGTCGACTCCTCCACATGCCAGAAGGCAGAGGAGCTTGGGTGGGATAGCTTTCACAAGGTTCTCCCTGGCCTGGGAATAGGCGGGCCGCGGAACTGAAATATGGGATGTGAAGCTTGGCATCATCCTGCACGGGCAAAACCACCCCAAAGTTAGCCTTGGAGGTCCCCTAACATGCAGCCTCATGTCACCCTCTTGCAACTTGCTGAATTTGATTATTATTGAGTTTGCAGCTGCAGCAGTTTTAGGATCTGCTGCAGGTACATTTACTCTGAACAGCACAAAGACATGTGAACGCACAGTAATCAGCATGCAGTCAACATACTTTGAAACATTCCACGTAGTGCAGTACAACCTAAGACTTACCTTTTTGAGTTTGTTGGACAGTGATGCTGTTAATCCCATTTAATGTTGGTTAAAGCGACAAAACAATGGAAATGTGAAGTCAAAAGCTGCCCAATCCAGCAGAACACACATGCTCCTACATGTTGACCCTCTGCGTTGTTCACACTAACATAACTGAGTGATAACCCAGCTTTACTAAGCCCGATTAGCTGTCATAAATACATAACAACACACACTCATGCATCATAGCAAGCCAATTATCTAATGCTTATCCCCTTACAACTGGGGGGTGTCCTCATTACCTCCCACCAGCAGAGACTTTGATTTACCTGAGAATGTTACTGTGCGACTCTGAGAAATTGATTGCCATCAGTAAATGACAGCAGCTTTTTAAAACCACTATGAAGTGTTTTCATGAAAAGGCCAGACTTTAGAAAGATTCTACCGTTTTTACATCTCCAGAATTTCACAGTCCAGAACAAAGTGCGACAGAAAACTAGTCTCATGTCATAAGCTCGTGTGCTGAAATGTAATGCCTCGCCTCACGTCTGCAGAGGCTCTGGATAAATCACCGCCTGGAGAACAGCACCGAAAACAGCTTAGCAACGATGGGACGATGAGGTGATTACACCTTTAGCTCCACCCCACCAGATCTGAACTCAGAAGAGTCAGGCTATTCACCGGCAAAATAAATGTAATTTAATGAACAAGCTCATCGACATCTGAAAAGATTTTAGACATGCTCTTAACTCCAGTATCTTATTTCCTTTATTCTGTCAGTCAATGAAATGTGGACAAATGATGGAGAAACTTTTAGTGTTGGAACATCAGAACCAACCACTGTGATCCACTGCATTAAAAACTTGGTGTATTACGTCTTAGAAAATTATTTGGAGTTTGGTTTCTTCATTTCTATAATCGGCTAAACTAAAACTAACAAAGAGCTTAAAGGGGGTCGTGTTGGCTTCTTGCAGTTTCACTTGGTTGAGGTCAGTTTTTAGAATTATGTTTTCCAAAATAATTCAATATTTTTGCAGACATTTCAAACATGGATCCCTTTCAGATGCCCCAAACGAGAATTCATTTTCCATAGGTCCAGTCATTCAGCACAGTTTGAGGGGGTTGCTAACGTCATAGTGTGTATGACACACAGTGAGCTTTGTGAAATACAGGATCAAACTGACAACACAGGAACCAAAGACTGGAGTGTTGTGTAAATTATGTCTTTGTCAATCACTTCACAACACACACACACAGTTAGTAGGGGCACAATTCCTCTTATCAGTCAAAATTTCATGCTTAAAAGACTGGAGATTTTAGTGTTGTGAGACAATAAGCAGAATCGAAAATATCTTTTAACACTGACTTTATTTTTTCCCCCAGATTTTTTGCTTAAAACATTATCTGCAAATATTTCTGTAGACAAGTTGGAATGTAAACCCAAAACAGAAAGGAAAGGTTTGTTATGCTTCTTGCACAGAGTGGAACAATTATTATAGAGTGATGCACGCTGCTGAAAAAAGCACCAACAAAACATTTAAAAAGAAAAAAAAAAGTATGTAGCAATACCATCGGCCATGTGGCAAGACTGGAAATTAAACTTCTGCCTTTTAGGCTAAATCACAGAATCAATTATTACTCGGAGAGAGAAAAAAAAACTTGATTCAGTTGTCAGTCAAAAAGAAAAAAAGAAATTACAGAAAATTTCTACTTCGATAAGGAAGGCAATTTGTGAAGAAGCAATCTATGCTCACAGTGGTGTGGTTCTGCTGCAGCACGGAGCAAAAAACAAACAGACTTACTGCATAATTTCATCTTCCGACACGACAAAGACGCAAAAGCGTCTTTAGCAGGAACATGACCTTATAAAGTGATGAGGAATGTTGTGGAGATTTGTGCAAAAAGAGACCAGGAGGTCCTTTTTGGAGTCATTCGAGTTCACACTGCAATCTAAAATCCCTGCAGTCCTTCTCCAGCTCACTCCACCGGCCTTCACAAAAACAAGCTGGCACAGGAATGAGAGCATGGCAGAGAGGAGTGCAGAGTCAGCTCTCTGAGGGAGCCGAATATCCACAGCTTGTGGCAAGCAGTCTTTCACAAAACCTCTAAGGTTCTACTAGTGTATCCCCAAAGGGGCTCATGAAGGCTTTATAGAAGTCCAACCATAAATCCATACATCTTTTCTGTCAATCGCAAAGAAACAAAAAGCTAACCAGTCATAAAACTAAGAGTGTAAATATAAGGCGAAGGAAGAAAAACAGACTATGTCAACAGATAAAGTAGCACTACTGATTATAGAAGAAAAGAAGACAGCTTAGCATGGGTAGTTGATTATACGTCAGCCCTGTTCACTCGTCTGAACTTCCATGCTGGTGGACCGAATGTTTCTGGATTCAATGTCTGTGCCTCTCCTCCTGACCCCTGGTGTTCAGTCTCTCTCCTGTGTTCCACCGACCCTTCATTAGTTCTTAGACAACTCTTTGGATAGCCAGTCCAGTCCTTCGTACAGCCCGGTCCCCTGGGTGGCGCAGGTCGACTCTATGTGCCACTGTGGAGAGAGACGGCCCAGAGGCCCAAAGGTCAGCACGCGGCCAGCAGCTCTGGGCCAAGCAGAGAGGAATACAACTCTACTCAGAGAACTCACAGTTTTGTTGCGAAGTGCTTGTAGGCCAAGTCTTTCGGTCAGCTCGCTGACTGACAGGGCATTAGGGAGGTCTTGTTTGTTAGCAAACACCAGCAAAACGGCATCTTTCAGCTCATCCTCTTGTAACTACAGAAAAGACAGGGAATGGGTGAGGGGTGCATACTGTGGATGCAGGGAAATAGCAACTAAAAGGGAAAAAAAAATTAAACTTTCAAATCGTCTGAAGATATTAAGTATGTCTTTAAGTACTATGCAAGGACGTCTGAGAAGCCAAAATCCAAATTTCTTAATCTTCTGCTGGCTGACTAAACTTCAAGGTTACAGCATGTGTAATAGACAGAATGGACCATGACATTATCAGTCAATAATACCGCCACACAGACCTAAGCTTTCTGTAATCAGACAAATAAAAGTTGTCTTGTTTTTTTGGCATCCAGATTTTTTTCGTCACTTTAGAAACATTTTATTTCGAATGAAAAATTCATCACATGTGGAGCTTAAAATAGCACCACTTACAGCTGTGTCCATATCAGACGTATCGCATGGCAATGACTTATTAGATTTTGTAACCAGCTGAACATCTTTTGGCGTTGATGACCCCAAACAAGTGTTTCCAGTTACTGTGGAGGAATTTCTGGATCTTTCTTCCTTGTAAATAGAAGTTCCACGTCAGCTGTGTTTAATGTGCCAGGCACAGGTCAAAGCGTTTTGTATGAAATCACTCTGTAAAGGATTAATGTTAATGATCAAAGGCCCTTTAATCAGTTTTTTCCTTCAGGAAAAAAAAAACAAAAGAGTAAAAAGCCTTTTGTTGAGTCTCAGCTGATGGAGAAGATCTGAGATAAGCAATCCGTCACAGTTTTGCTATCAATATTCAAACACCTGACATTTTAATTAAACTAAGTTTTAATTGTGGTGATTTCATTTTAAATTGAGTTCATATGGCCAGGAAATGCCTTCAGGTGAATATTTGAAAAGTTTCAGATGGAGACATTTTTAAAGGATTTGCTTCAGTTTCGGGGGGGCTTTGTCATCGACACAACACTGTTACACCATGATGATTAAGAAGGACTGTGTGGTTGGTTCAGAGGAACTGAGCAAATACCCAAAGCTTTCAACATCTGGGGGATCCTGCACACCGTCTCACTGCTGTATTGACACCATTTCAAACTATCCCACTTCCAGCAGACGGGGGCTTGGAGCATTTTGCAAACCAAACCATGAATACCAATAAATCAATAAATCCTAGCTGGTCAAGCCCTTCCTTTAAGGCCCTTATCTTGCAACTGTTTACTTATTGTTTTTCTTACATTAACTGGTAAACACAATACATGTTTGCATAAAATTTAAGTTACATCAGAACTTTTAAATACGATATCCCAATTTGAAGAATATCCTCCATCATATTTGTTTATACTAAATGTTTACATGGAATGCACCAATAAACATGGAAATGCTTTCATCTTATTTCATGCTAAGGGATTGAGGGGCCAAAACACAGAAAAGTCAATGCTCCAGCATTGAGTGAGACATGCATGGGTCCCTCTGACTCACCTGTCACTGATGTTTTCTATCACCAGAGCAATTCTAAACAGGTCCTATTCCAAAGTCACATCTAATGGAGAGGCCCGTAACTGCAAAGCTAATATTGACACTCATAAGGAGCTGGACCTATGAAATACATACCATCTTTGAGAGCTCTTCTGCAGATTCAGTCACTCTTTCTCTGTCATTACTGTCCACTACAAAGATGAGGCCCTAAATTGGGGAAGAAAAGCATTGTTGTGATATCCGTCAAGAAATAACTATCAAATGTTGACAAACTAGCCAGGAAATAAAGGCACACTGGCTGTTCAATATGATGGAATATCAAAAAGAGAAAGTATTTCTGAAGAGTTTTTTTTAAATGTATTTATTTTTTAAACTTTGTCTTCTCAATACTAGCGTGCTATTGAGCTGTGAACCACTCCTTTGTCTTTATACACACGCATGGGGCTGTCTTTGTTATTCAAAGCAGGAACAGTCACATCCGTACCTGTGTATTCTGGAAGTAATGCCTCCACAGAGGTCTGATCTTGTCCTGGCCACCCACATCCCAAACGGTGAAGCTGATATTCTTATATTCTACGGTCTCCACGTTGAAACCTTCCCAGGGGAGAGAGAAAGCACAAAGCTCTTAAAGATGCCGCCAGCAAAACACCATCCTCAAAGAACAAACTTTTGTAGGAGGAAAATGAGTGCAGAGCGGATTACTCACCAATGGTTGGGATGGTGGTTACAATTTCACCGAGCTTCAGCTTGTACAAGATAGTGGTTTTTCCAGCAGCGTCCAGCCCAACTGCAGGCAGGAGAAAAGTGGTCAAAGTCAACATTTATGTTTGGAAAGGGAACAGTAAAGCAATGAAATGCCACCAGCTGTCATTGGCTTAAGAAATAAATTCCAAAAACAAAAGTTATCATCGTCATACAGGTGAGGCATGGTGTAATTGTCCACAGGGAATGTTAATTCACATCTTTCTCCATAAAAGTTCAAAAGTAAGCAGAAATATGTTCGTAGCTAACTAAAGTGGTGTGTTAACTGGTTCATGACAACCAGGCCTGAATCAAGTTCCCGTCTGCTCAGACACAGCCAACACCTATGACACCCCGTAGAGACAACACACAGACAAATTGAAGGCTATTTTTTCGGGGTCTTTGCTTCCTTTGAGGCAGTTAGTTAGATTTTTTTTTAAATGCTTTGACCAAAGGAAGTGGTCTTGTTTAAGGTCTTCGTTGCCAAACGTAGAAGAAAACACCGATAAAAACGATTTTTGGGAAAATATTCAATTGTTAACCTTCCGAGTTAAAATGATGGACAGCCTATCTGTCGGTATATAGCAGTTAGCTTACGTAAATACCCCTAAAATCTGTCCAGTACGCGACGCTAAGCGCCGTTAGCCAAACAAGTTTTTCTCACCCATTAAGATCCTCATTTGCTTTTTGCCGAAGAGCCGACCGAAGATGGACGAAATGGTGAGCCCCATAACTGACTGCGTTTATTTTAAGTTGTACAAGTAATATAATAACCGATATCAGACGAGACGTGGGCAAAGTGAAATATTTCACTCTTAGGATTTCCACACAGGACGAGCACTGCCGACTGACTGCCACGTCCGGGCCAACGTGGAAGACATGACGTCATCGTTTGAATAAACTTTATCGACACTAACACAGTAGCGACACTTTGGAAAAAACGGCTCACAAAGACTGCTGCGTACAATTTCTGTCAACATATCAGTTTAATTTTACTCGTATCGCCGTTTTTCCATCTCAAAACAACACTGATAAACAATTTGGAAAAAAATTTTTTTTTTAAATGTCTTCTACCTGTTACGGTTGAGTCTCTATGTCTACCACTAGATGTCCTCACATGATCAGATCTCCTGGAGCTGGTGAGAAGCACAATGATCACCTGTACTTATGATCAGTTTTTTCTAAATATAAAAATGTATCTACAGATTTTAATACACCGACTTGACTTGTTGCTTGAAGTCTACACAGATCACAATACGGTCCTCCATGACAGGATATTAGAGCTATGAGCAGCCAGGGAAAGCATTAACAGTTTGTATTTTTTATTTTATTTTTTCTCTCTTTGGAATTACCAGGAGAGATTTAAAGCCCAAAAATTCCAGAGAAAATGCATACCGAGGAATATTGGGGGATTGTTCCACGTGGGGATTGCCATTCTGAGCTGCCAACACCTCACCCACTCAGAGCAGGTGGAGTCAAAACAGCAGCACGTGATAGTGTGAATGTTTTATAAAGGTGTGCTTTCACAGGTAAGCATACTTTCACTAAGGCCTGTAATGGGTACATGCTATTTAAGAGTGCACGTTCTAAATCTGTCTTTTGGATTTAGTGATTATCAACATGGATATTAATGGGATACTAAGTGGAAATCAGGTAGGCTTTAAGTTATAAATGTATTAATCTTACTGAATTAATTGTAGCCTACAAGGAGAGGACAGATCTCACAATAACCTTTTTGAATTATGTTTTTCAGATTGATATCCTCTCTGACGTATACATAGTATTACTTATTCTCAGGTAATGTACTTTCTCATTTAAAGATAATTTGTATGCATGAAAAAACTGTATAGTAAGTTCATTATGACAAATCTATTGTTTTTTCGGTGGGACACTGCTAAACCAGCAGGGCAACATGCAGTAGGAAGCGCAGGCGGGTTTTTCTTTGAATTCCATCAGCGTTCTTGCATAAAGTTCTTGTATAATATTCATAACATGAAGTTGTAGCTTATTTCTAAAGGTTTTTTTCCATCATGTTTTTGTCAAAATGCTCCCAATTGAAAAATACTTTGTGCCAGTCATATCAAAGACGGCAAAGCAAGGGTATGATTTACCATGAGGGCCATTTTATGGTTTTTATACAGTTTTCCCATGTCAGAGATTAAGTTATTTGAAAGCAGAGGTGTCTGCCTTGTTCGCAAAAGCTCTGCAATAAAAACAAATGGCATGTTTAGCTCTGCACACAGAGTTGTAATGCTCATGGTTTCAGTTTTTTTCATAAGTCTTAATTTTCATTATGGATTTAATTTTTGCTTTCAATTTAGCTTAATTCCAGGTTAATTGGCTATTTTACTTAAGTTGTTATTGCTTGTCAGTGTTAGTTTTATTGTAGATTTGACCAGCTTCAGTATGAGTTCAAGGTTTATTTTAATGTTTATGAAGTTCAGACAGTGTACAATGCACTTAGACCTGTGACTCACAGCCCTGTGAACATCAGCACAATGCTCAATCCTGTGCCTTTATAACTGTGTTGGTGTGTGACCAAACCACCAGAACCAAATCCTTTGATTTATACACTGCGCTAATAGTTTAGCTATGTCGTGTAGTTTCCATTCATATTTGAGATGTTTCTAAGATCTTTATTTTCTTTTAACTGCAATGTGTTCGTACATCTAGTTTTGATTTTAATCTTTGTCAACATTTTTCACTATTTTCAATTGAAAACTGATTTGAAGTCTTTTAAAGTTCAAAACTTAATGAACACATTTGTATGAATGATTCTGTTTTGTTATATTTAACTGTTTGTTTGTTTGCTTTTTCTAGTGTAGTTGGGAGTTTTTCGGTCCTGGTAGTTTCCATCTTGAGATGGAGAAATATAAGGGAGCAAGTGAGTCCAGATGTTCATTTGAATGTGCTACAAATTCTTGATTTTTTAAATGCTTTTCATTTTGCCAATGCGTGGTCTTATTGTCTAAGTTTGGAATGTTTTTTTCTTTTTCTTTTTTCTGAGCCACAAAAGTTCTTGTACATCTATTGACCAATTGCACAGCTTTTACGGTGTGTGTGTGTGTGTGTTTACAGGTACACCTACTGGTGCAGCTTGCTCTGGCAGACCTGTTGGCCGCTCTGGTCCTGATGTCCACGAGTATCATGAACAAATTTCAAATGGACAGGAGCGTGATAATCTGCCAGTACCTGCTGCCTCTGTCACTGGTGAGGACCTGTCACTGACTGAGACACGTGCCACCAGTAAATTCTCAGTATGCCAGAAAAAATATGGTGTATTGAAAAGGGGATTTAATGTGGATTTTAGACCCACTCGAAATTGGGGACTTTCTTTCGTATAGTAACTTTACGGAAGAGATCATATTTAAATCCATTTGCACGATTGTTAATTTTCTTTTGCCTGAGTCATCTTTGACATGAGCTCATTCAAAATGTGTTCATTTATAGCATCTATAAAGTAAAGCTTTGAACAGTTTTAGTCATGACATGCCTTTAGTTACGATAGGACCTTATTATTGTTTACCTAGACCAGGGGTTGGCAACTCCAGGCCTGGAGAGCCGCTGTCCTGCAGGTTTTTAGTGGTTTCCCTGCTTCTACACACCTGATTCACATCAACACAAAGTCCTGTTCAGAGCTGAAGCACCTTTAGAAGAGATCAGATTTTATCTGAATTATCTGAAACATATAAAATCTGCAGGACAGCGGCTCTGGAGGCCGGAGTTCCCTACCCCTGACCTAGACTCATAGAGGAGGCTGCACATTTTTCACGTCTTTCTCTAAATGCCCCTTGAAGCTACGCATACCACTTAAATATAGTGACCAAAATTTGGTAAAAATAATTTTACAAGGCATACTGCTTACTGACAAAGTAACTGAAAATGTATTAAGAAGGTAGGTTAATCAGAAACAGATGTTTAACAAAGATTTGTAAAGTTTTGTCCAGACAAAATTAACTGTTGAACTTTGAATTTCTCAATTTTGAGTTGGACTCGTTTTACTACATTACAGCAAGTTACAATCTTATCTAAATCAAACAAATGAAAACTTTTTCATAAAGAACCGCAAAGATTGTCTTCATCAGAGAAAATGTCTGAACTTTCTCTGAACCTCTCAGCAGACCTAAACCTAAAGTTAACCCTTTAAACAAAGTGTTATTTTTCCAATGTGCAAATGTAAGTCTGGCAGGTGTAATTGAGTTACCTTAATAATGCAAATTGTCACATTGTGTCTTCATTTCCAGACATTTTATTTCATATCATTTTTACTGGTGGTTGTTTACGCCTGGAAGTCGAAGACTGCTATCCAAGGCTGGAGGGAAAGAGCAGCAAACGATGAGGATGGGCAGGTAAGAAATGAACTTGTAATTTATTATTAAATGAGTCACAAATTGACTGTAAGCTTATGCGCATTCCTGTATTGATTTACAGAGTCACTGCAGAGGGAAAATAGTAACTTTACCTGTCTATGGTGTTGTCTGGTGAGTTTCTGAACCTTATGTTAGCTCATTGAATTAACCAATGATTCCATCATTTTAAATCTGTCCCCATTTGTCCAATAACATAGGCTTATCCCACTGGCAATTTACTTAACCTATGTGCTCACTCCTTTAATAACAACTGCCATGGTGATTCCAATGGGTGGCATCCCACTTGCCCAGAATGAAAGTACTTACTGCACCAGGTGAGAACAGCAAGTCCACAATCCAGTCCACCCTCCCCCAAATGCCAGACATCGCAGTAATGAAACAGGCCTGTTTGCCTGATTTTATTGTTTTTTTTTTTTATCTCTTTGATTTTTCTTTTTTTCTTTGCAGCTGTATTTTGTTCCTGCATGTCTGGAGGGATCCCTGCTCAAAAACTGTGAGTCTAATGTAATTTGCTTTCATCTTGACTATATTTGAATAATATTTTAATTTATTTAACAGAAATGTTTCTATGACTGTAATCAGTTGGACCATTAAAATCAGCAATTAAAGCGCATCATTACACTTTTTTATTGTTTTCATGCAATATACGTATATACATTATGTATATGTATATCACTATAAATCTCTTTCTCTCCGTCTGTCTTTCTCTCTCTCACTCTCTCTCTGTATGTATATATATATATATATATATTTATTTATATATTTTCCTTTTAGGAGATAATCCATGACACCTTCATCCGACTTTTCCTCTTCTTAGTAGTGATACCAGTGATGTTATCCTGCTCTGTGAGTAGTGAAAAAAATACTATCCATCCATCCATCCATTATCAATACCGCTTATTCCCTCATGGGGTCGCGGGTGAAAAAAATACAGTTGTCAAAACAAATCTGATTATTTTGAAAGATGAATGTAATTATTCCTTTTTGTTTAAGGTTATTTACTACAAGGTTGGGAAGTGGTATGCAAGGCATGAGCACGACAGGCTTTTTCCTGTGGAGGGAGATGGACGTTCAACAAGGCGAGTCAAAAAAGTGATTTCCACAGCGCGGAATATGGTGATGGTCATTATAATCTGTTGGACACCAGGTATTCACACACCCGATCATACTCACATTTAAAAAGAATTGACTTTGATCAGCATGACACTGATGTCTGATGCTCTTTTCTGTTGAAGCTCTTTTCCTCATTTTACTGTCTACGCTCATGATCTGGACAAAAATCGAGCAGCGTAGTTTATTTGGCCTTTATATGGTCCAGGTATGTTTCAGGAGGGCAAGGTCTGGCTTGAAATTAGGAGGCTGAAGGTTACAGTGTTGCTTTATTCATTTCAGGCTGCCACCGTGTCCCTCCAAGGTTTCCTTAACAGTATGGTCTACGCATGGAAACGACCCAACTTCACAGAGGCTGTTTTCGGGGAAAACACACCTCTGGTGGCACACAACCATATGGCCTTCTTTGATGAGTCATTAAGGACTTCTGCCTAATTGATGAAACACTGGATGATTAATGGGTTTCGGTTTCAAGAAGAGAAAACTCACACCTCATGGCATCATTGCAGTCACTACTGAAAAACTGAAACTAATCTCACTTGTGGACTAAATATGAAGAAACTGGAGAAGATGAAGGAGACACAAGGGCTACTTAAAAAGTTAAGTTAAAAAAAAAAAACTTTTTTCTATAGCAGCTGCTTTGTATTTAGTGTCTTAAATAGCCATAATGATGTAAATCTTGGCTCTAATGAGTCTGGAGTTCCATTTATAAAATATCTGTTATTTTACTGCTTTTTCAAAGATTTTAATGATATCCGAGAACATTGAGGATTCATTTTTGTGTGATTTTTATTTTATTTATTTGTTACGATTAATTATGTTTCTTCCACCTATATGTTTTTTAACCAGCAAAAGCTATTACTGACTTCTTATGTAACAGTTCCTCACTCCTCTGTGTTTAAAGACAAAGATTACGCAAATCCTTCCAGTTTTACGTACTTTACAATCACATAGGTCATTTCGGAGACACAAGGCTCATATGAAGATTGTATAACACACATTGATTGTAGTCTGGTTCGTTTTGTTCACTGAAGAATGCTGAGTGGTTGAAAAAAAAGGGAAATCATTCACAGTCTGCTCAGTCATGTCTGTGTGCCACCACAGCTCCTGACTTTCCTCATAAAAGTCAAGTTCATTCGTGCAAGAGAGGTCTCATGAAAGGCACGTCTGATATGTTGTTGTTCACAAGCATGTGAGCAAGATCAGCACATCAGAATGTCTTACCTCATATTCCTGGATATTCCCAAGCTCTGCCAGTTCATTTTTTATATATACGAGGTACGGCTCAGCTCACTCAAATTTGTTACTGAGTTTTCACTGAATTTTTCACCATCTGGAGATTTGATAGTCTCGATATTTCAACGGATTACATTCAGCTTTCAAATAGTAAAACTCAGTTTGTGAATAATAAAGTAAACCTTGGAAGATCAGTGATGTTCTTATTATAGATCAAAATTGTTGAGTCATTGCACTTTAATAAAAGTCTGTCTAACCTGTTCTTCATGCACCTGATTAGAATCAGCTTAGAGCCAACCATTATGTGGTATGTCCCAGATATCCCACCTTTTCATGGATCGTGGGATAAACACAAATACTGTGCCATGGTATCTGATAAATCATGGTTCCTCTTAAAATAAGGCCAAATAATGGTGGCATTTGTGCACAAATCCATAAAGCAGAACTATTTACAGTCTGTAGCTACCATCTGTCATCATTTTACTGCAGTTAGGAGCTACTCAAAGCCATAGTTTTTTGTTGCATAGTTTATTCTTAGGCATATCAAAATGGTGTAAAAAAAAAAACAAAGGCAGGTGGCAAAAATACCCAAACAAAGCTGAAAAAGTATCTGTTGATGCAATCTTGTTCCGTCTACCGAGTTTGACATATGAACCCAAAAGCTTACCAATTAAAAACAAAAGCTTTTTAAATGCTGTGCAGGGTCCACAATTTCATACATTTATATAGTCACTTAGATTAGTGGTGTTTTTGTACCTTTTCCAGTTTATATTGAAAAATCACAGGGACAACAATCTGATCAAAAGTTTGTTCTGATCTAACAAACCTTTGTTGGCAGGTTTTCACTGGAGATCTGACACTTTGATGGTTCTGTAATTGTCCTCTGTAAAATGTATAATCTATACTTGTGTGTTAAAGCACTGGGCAACACAACACTTTTTGACTACAGTAAAAACTGGAACCAAGTTTACTTTATCAGATAAGGTTGTGGATCATAGAGCACCCCATTGTAAAAGCTTTGTGAGGGAAATTCCGACTATTACAAGTGAAACACACACCTGTCAGAAGATTCTAAATCCACACACACTTCCCTACTAAGAGGTTAAAACTGACTGTAAATCAAAGGCAACAAGATCCTTCCCAAGTTCACAGAATGTGTCAATGTTGAACACATACATTAACATAGCTCAACTAACTCTTTCTGCTAAATAGTTAATATGCATTTAACAAACTACATGAGCAAGAAGAACAAAACAAATCAGCATTATTTCTCTTTTCCACATGTTCATCATGAATGTGAAGCTTCCTGGAGGCCTCTTCAGTGCCTGCATGACGGCATAGTAAGTTGAGGTCCTTTAAGTTTCAGAAGGCATGCTGATAATGCGTTTTTTTATCCAGGTGAAATTAATGAATGTACTGTTTTCTTTTTCTGAGTTTTATCTCAAAGTTGCTGCAGTGTATGTATTGGGCAAAACCAGCTGTTCGCTTTCAAAAGTCCATGGACAAAGATCTTTGCTGAGCCATATCATATTTGCCTCTTCGACCTCCTGCTCTTCGCACATACAGATCATACCTTCCGTTTTCCTCCTCTTCCTCTTCCTCCTCCATGACTCTGTCCTGATGCCACAGGACCCTATCCCCTGCACTAGGATAGCCCTGCCCTCTGCTTTGTTTTACGCTAGGCCAACTTTTCTTACGTAAACTGCTGAAGTCTCTGAAGGGAGGCATGGTGTTCTGGCAGTCTCCCCCAAAGGAAGCAAACTCCATGGACCCCTTGCCCAGGACATAAGCGCTGTGACTGGCTTTGATGGAGCTCACAGAGGCCTGTGAGCCACAGTGGTGCTCATGAACACAGCGTGATGTTGAGGAAGATCTCCGAAATGCCTGCAAGGACTGGAGTTCCTCCGTTAACTCTCTAAGGTCCCCGGACATTTCCTGGAAAAAACAATGCTTAAAATGCAATTCTAGCGTATTGAAGGCATGGATGGATGTACATGTATTAAAGTGAACAGGTTAACCTTGTCTCTGAGAGCCAAGAGCTCATAGTGTGGAGGGTCAAACACACTCTGCAGGTCAGCATGCTGGAACAGTTTGCTCTTACGGATAACCACCTTCAAAATATGAATGAACACAATATCCAAATCAACAATTTGAACAAAAATTGTGGGAAAATGTAACATGTTAGTAAGGCATGGTATTTACCTTTTTACGTGGCTGTTTGACTTGCACTAAAATGGAGAAAATGAGAAGCAACAGCACCACCCCAGTGGAAGCACATATTATTGTTCCCTGCGTCTTGGTGATATGGACAAAAAGACCTTTGTTCTTTTTCTCTAAAACATGAACATGAAGACATTCAGCAAAAAAAAAAAAAAAGGTTAAAACATCATGTAATCTCAGCAGCTGTGATGCATGGACTACCAGGATTGTTTGTGAATGACACTGACAGGTGTAATTAGTTGACAGAAGTACAGCTAAAGGTCGTAAAAGAGGTCCAATGTGATACAGATAGCAGACAGAGCACATATGAAAATGCACATCATGATACCATTCCTGGTAGGTACGAAAAAGAAAGTGGAAATGCCACACTGTTTTGGCAGAGGCGAGGTACCTTTGCAGTTGCTTTCGTCCCAGGGAAAGACGCAATTTTGCACGCCGTTGCATACCAGAGAACTGTTGATGCACATGTTGCTGTGGCAAAAGAATGCACTGCCCGTGCAGGGCGCTTAAAAAAAACAAAAAAAAAGGTATGTTTGAGGTATGCCGTCAAGCTGGCAAAGCAACCGGAGCCATCAAGTAAGAGGCTCTTTGTTTCGCAGCTGTAAAATGTAGAGTTACATAACAGAAAAACAAGTTAGAAAATCACAAAAGGATGTTATCAGAGAACAGATGTGTTCATTTTTGCTATACATTCTGCAGTGTTTTCAGGTCTTCGTTAACTGAACTGTGAGAAATGCACTGGAAGTAGCAGTTGCAGTCTCGGACATTAACGACATATTTGTAACTGCTCCAGCAGCAAGACAAAAACTTTGAAAAAAGGGGTACCGCACAGGAAAACAACTGACTGAGGGAGATACTCACGGTCAGAAAAAATGGTGTAGAGCATCCGGAAACGACTTAGACGGCTTGTCTCATCAGCCCACATCCTCACGACCCCAAAGCTGGTGTCCAGCATGATGTCATTAGCAACAGTACTACAAAACTTGGACTGCAAGAAAACACATCACATTATCATCAATCACATTCTCTCTCATAAGTAGCTGTTCATTCCATAAAGAATGAAGGCATCACGGAACTATGTGGGGGCTGACGTTTATCTGATTCTGCTTTACCTTTAAGTCTTCGATGGCACTGCTGCCATCATAAACAGCCACAAAGTTCTTCTTGCATTCATTTGAGTTTTCCATCTGGTATTCAAGGAATCTCAAATAAATCTGGAATAATTTAAAAGAAAGACAAATCCTTGCGTGACTTATCCAGTTTGCTGGATTATCAGTGTTAATTCACAAGTGGCATCTAAAGCTGTAAATGTGCTCTTGGGGAAATCTTAGTGTGTGCTTTGAGGTTTTTGCTGTGTTATGTAAAAATTAAAATCTACAAGCATTGTCTCTTTTTTAAAATAAATTCATATGGAAAGGAATGTATGAAAACAGTGGTGAAAGTGGAAAAATGTGCACCTCCTAATTCAAACCACTGGAGCGCTTGTCATTTGACTCCAAATTCATCACATTCCCTCTTCTAAAACTACCATAGCAACTCTTCTTTCACTGTTATATAACTCGCTGGTATGTTTTGTCATAGCATATGCAGCTGGTTTTCACAAATATTCATAAGACAGGATATTACACTTATTCATGAGATGATTGACAAAATCACAACACGCCATGAGCAGTACCCTCGTCTTTTCTGGGGCACGGATAGTCCAGATGCAGTCCACTGCCTGCTCTGGCTTCACTTTATTCTCCTCCTCCACCTGACCGGAGCGAATCAGGCCATCATTTCCTGTTAGGTCAAACTGACAATCTGAGAAAAAAAATCAAGGGAAATAACAAAACACAAATACAAGGGTTAGGGGATTCGACCAGACTGCGAGAACTCTGCTTCAATTTTCAATCCTAAAAAATACACCTGAATGAGTAGACTAGTGGTTTCCCTACCTGGGATGGGGTTTAAAAGTCCCCCCGTGTGCAGATGAAATTCAGGGTCTTTGGAGAAAATGACAGAAACAGACACTGTCAGGGTTGAGCAGGTCCCAGGTCTTCACTCAGCTACCAGGCGTTTGGGCCGGGCGTTGTGCAGACACCACGTTAACTTGAAGTGAGAACATTGTTTAATGAGCTCCTCCAGTCACCTGCTGTGAACTTGTACTGGATCTGGAAGCCCATCCCCTCCAGCTCATCGTCACTGTAGAAGCGGATCCACAGGAAGCGCCCGCTGGAGAGGACAAGGCCCGGACTGCTGGTGCCACAGTAGCGACTGATCAGAGGCGAGATGCTGAAGGGGCCGTCCCTCACCTCGATGTGGTCGAAGCGGCACTCGAATGAGGATTCGATGTGGAAGACTTTGTTGAACAGCAGCTCTATCCTCTGACGGGGCAGGGCTGAGGAAAAACTGATAGCGTCACTTCCACTGGAGAACACACGCTTTTGGGATGATGTAGCCAAAGTCACTGGTTACCTTCCAGTACGTACAGGCACTCCTTGTTAGGAGGGTACGTGTTCGGGAAGTTTGGGGAGCTGAAGCTTCCACCGTCTGTTTTCCGAACCCAGGTTCCACAGTGACGAGGTTCCTGAGATTGCTCTGGGGGTTTCTCCCCCTTTGATCCTGTACCTCCATCTGCATGTCATATGGGGCATTCAACCATGATCCTTTCTTTTTTCTTCTTCTTACAATCACTACTTTTTATAAGTTACAATACAGAACTGAAAATTATTTTAAAAATCTTGAAATGATTGGAAGTCATCAATGTTTATGTGGATCTATCAAAAGAGTGTTGTAGCTATAACCTTACCTTTAATCTTTTGTGCAAGAGAAAATCCCTCCTCGAGGAATAGGAGGAAAATCCAGACTGTACAGCATAGCGAGGGGGGTAAAATAGAGAAATAAAAGAATGACAAGGAATGACAGGCTAAGCTGGATTTGTTTGTTCATATTTGGAAACCCAGTGCATCATCAGAATGTTTCTAACAAGTTAGAGTTGAAGAGTTCAAGTGGGGACATTTGGACAAAGAGGAAATTCCTCCATCTGTGTACTTTCTATTTACATCTGTTTCTTACTTTCTAAGTTTTTTTTTTCTATATCTGAGGGTTTATCTAAGAAGTGTTGATCATCTGCTGCCTGCTCTCATCCCCTGCAAATTAATTGGTTGATAAAGAAAAAAGAAAAAATATACCTTGTAATATAATATACCTTGAAATCATATACACATTCAATATATATCAATCATATATGTAAAAATATGTAAAATAAAACATTTTAAAAATAGGATGGGACACCCTGAGGGCTCCAAGTTTCCTATCTTTCACAAGTTTGAACGATAGTACAGGGGAGAGAAACATCTAAAACAAGCAGCACAGAAGCCCTCCAGGACCAGAGCTGGACAACCCCTGCCATAATTAAATGTGTGTAAATGTAAGCTTATGGCAGAGGAAACCACACAATTTAAAACTTTGAATTCCTCTTTGCAATTATCAGCATCAGCCTTCCCAACAGCAAAACATCCACAGAGACCATATTCAATAACACAAATCATGCCCCTTATAAAGATGTTGAGCCTTCACACAAAATGCATTTCTTACATTTTTCTTACACTTAATTGGCTGGAAAGAGCTGTCGCTTTGACAGCAGGTTTCGTTCATCAGGAAAACATTACGGATACATCCAATATTTTTACTCTCTCTTTAGATGGATGCTTCAAACAGGTTTGGGGTACTTGCTGTGCTTCCTTCTGCAAAATGCTACCTGAAAATATAAACCTGTGGAAAACTAGGACGTCTATGGGACACGTTTTAGGTCTGAATCCTCCTGCCTGTGTATCATTTCCTCAGACAAAACACAATGGAAGAGATGACTCACCTGAAAGCATCGTTTGAGCTGGAATCTGAGTTTAGTTTTTAAACTGCGTGTCCCTCACATCCTGGCTCGGATCTGTTTACACACGTGTAAAATTCTGATTCACACAATGCAACTTTCATCCTAATCCCACAGCTCAAAAGGAATGTGGCTTCTGGTGCAAAAACGATCTGATGAGCTTCATATTCAAATTTTCTCCATAAAGTGTTTCCTTCCACGATGAACACGCTGCTCCCACCGACCTCAGGGTGTGTGAGGCTGAGCTTCCTCCTCCAAAATGAGCGGATGATCCGTGTGCGGCTGCTGGAGGTTTAGGGTTGAGCTGTCTCAGTTGGCGTGAGATGAGAGTAAAGCTGATTGCACATGTGGATCCTCAATGATGAGTTACGAGTTACGATTCAATAACCCTCCCATATGGTGTATGGCATACGACGAACCAAACAGGAAACTCCTTTTTTTCATTACTCGACTTTTTCCCCGTCAATTACTTTCTGGCCTTCAGTTCTTTGCAAAGTAGATAGTGTTAACCTTTTTTTTTTTTTTTTTTTAAAGTTTGACATGACATTGATGGAGACTTTCATTTAATGTATTGACTTTAAACAACCAAATCTGCCACCATGGACAGTTTTTTCACGGGATTCTGATTGCTTTATATTTTACTGAGAGCAAAATTATTTAAATGAAGTCTTGGGATTTTGTTATTGAAGCAGAAACTTTCCGGCTGAGTCGGGATTCATCATAAGCTACCCATAATCACATCCTGATCTCATCGTAAAAAAGCTCTGGAGCTGCTCTTCATGAACTAAGTTTTTCTCAACATCTGTCCCCAACAATTATGTTTCACTCTAGACTTTAAAGTCGATTTGGAAAATAAAACACACAAATGATGAGTTTGTCTCCTAAGGCATTAAATTGAAGATGAGATTTTTTGCAACATTTTAAGACTTTTTATCTATAACTAAATTTGTGATAGTAATAGAAGTAGTATTTAGTATATGAATATGTTAGAACTTCTAACAAGCTGCTAGGAGATTGACCAGCTTCAGAGAGGCTGAATAATTCTCAATAATCATGACCTGACCATATTTTAGAGCTTAATTTGCATAGGGATTGAAATGAAAATTATAATCTGACAGTATTAACGATAAAAGTACAGTATTTACCTTACAATTAAACATTACTAAAAACATTAATTTACACAATCATTTGATTTAGTGTTAATTAAATTACTTGGAACCCTTAAATCTTCTCGGGGATCATCCCACAGGCTTGTTAAATCTCTCGGGATTAAAATTTCTTCCACTCTTCTAGGCAAAAAACAGTCGTATTTCAGATGGTTGCATACATGAATGTAAGATAATTAAGTTATACAAATAAATAAATAAAAAACAGCAGCCATCAGACCTCACATTCAATAATTCATTAATAATTACTAAGGTGGGAGCATATGTTTCCATCCCAGCAGCCGTCTCGGGGTCGGCTACTTGAGCAGGAGGTGAAAACACTCGCTGTGACGTGCATTTCAAATGTGAGCTTGCATCATCTGAGCCTTTGTTCCCTGATGACTGTGATACAGACAGAGTGCAATGCACAGAATGTGTGGTTTAGCTGTGTGTTTGGTTGGTCTGGGGCTGTGTGTGCTTGTCACTGGAGACTATGAGCTACTGCTGCTCTACTCATGACCAGCAGAGTCAAACACAAATAAGAAAGCAATCTACCAGCACTGCACAGGATATTCAAATCTCTGTCTGTTGCTATAGCAATGAAGCTGGTGTCTTTAATGTTTCCTCTGAGGTAATCTGAGACACAGAGAGACAGGGTTTTTGGGGGATCAAAGGGGAGCAAATGATGTGTCTGATACAGTCACTGTGGTACAAACTATGGTGATTCTGAAGTCATTTTTAAGTAATGCTTTCTTAATCCTCTATAAGGCACCATAATTGTGGTACTACAATTTTTGTATCACATTGGTGAATTTCTTTGGTGAACCTTTTACATATAGACTTCATTGTCTTAACAAACATACCTTCTTTGAAATCAAGGCACTGTGTTATAATCTGAACATTTCACATATCAATATGTATTTATGTATATGCATTCATGTATGTATGTATGAAAAAAAGCTTCATTCCTTTAACTTTATATTTAGAAATCTCATATCAAACCTAGTAAACCATCACCAACAGAGCTGTAGAGCCAGTAAAAATCCAACCTGAGGGACCGGGTTTGTAATTAGCATTCTAATTAGTGACTTAAGCAGAAAAGTCATTGTATTAATTAATTTTGTTCCATAATTATGAAAGGATACATATAATCAGGTGAAATGTAATTTCAACTCTTTTCAATGTTAAGATGGCACATGAGTATATTTCTAGAACGGTTGCCAGTCCATCGCAGGAGCTCATAGAGATGAATGAGGGAAACAAAAATGCTTGCTCACTCCCACAGGTAATTTAGTGCCTGCAATCAGCCTAACATGCATGTTATTGATGGGAGCATCACATATGAGCCAAATTCTTGGATATCCAACCCAATCATGTACTGACAGAGTCTGCAAATGGTATGCTAACACTCACAGTAGCACTACCCAATATAGATGCAGTGGTGGTGGTGCTGAGGTGAAAATCTTACCTCTGGTGAACAGAAAGACAATAAATATTGTGCCTCTGCAAACCTATGAAATTACAAATCAAATTACTGTTTCTCTTTATTGTTTCTCAACCTATGTTCATTGGTGGTGCTGTGATGGGTGGGAGGCCTGTCCAAGATACGCCCTCCTTCTACATCCCTGTTTGTGTAAGTCAAGTTCAGTACAAACGTCTACCTTAAAATGTAATCATCTACGTGGAGGATTTCTTTCCATAAGACCCAGCTTAGAGTTCAGAGTTTAGCACTATGCTGTCCTTGGAGACCCAGCCACCGGGCAGACACAAAACACGTTCTATTCTTAGACAGATATCATAAGACAGGAAGAGCTGATGTTGAACTCTGTTCTTATCTCAGGCCCACATGACAACAGATTAAACAAAGAAAGTAACATGACCCCAAATGTTGGGATAGACCACTACGGTATAAGCCTTCCACACAATCAACAGTGAAACCTTTAACCACTATAGATTTAGACGTATGCGCTTTAAAGCTCCAAGGAAAACTCAGACTGAACTCTGTTCTCAAACCCATATGACGACAGATTAAATAAAGACACGAATTAAACTGCATTCAATAAACATCAGAAAAACTACTGTAATGAGACCCCTTTAAAACGACTCCAAGTAAAATCCATAGTGAAATAAACCTGTTCAGTTATGGAATATATGAGAGCTGTTTTTAATCCTGATCTTGTGTCTTTGAATTGATAATCTTCCCTCTCTGTTTAAAAATACCGCATATTTCCTCCAATCCTCTCCAGAGAGGTGGTGCATCCTTTGCTGAGTTTTTTAAATATCTTTTTATATTTATATTGAAATGATCCATGTCATGTAATGAATAATTAACGATTAAAGATTTTCTTCTAATTAAAGAAACAAAAACATGCACAGAATGACTGGGCTGAGTTGGTGCTCTGCATTCTGTTTGAAGATGGGAATAACTTGCCACGACATTAAACAAAAAAGAGATCTAAGAGCACTGAAGAGTACTAAAAGAGGGTTTTCTCTTTTACACTGATAAGTAAGAGCTGGGAACCTTCTCATACCTTATCTTATGAGTGAATTCTTTAAGAAGATGGGGTTCTTTCGAACATATAAACATCCTTTAAAAGAATACGTCCCATCATTTCTAAGCCATACACCATATGGCCAATTCCACGAAAGGTTTCTGAGACAGATGGCCAATAGCATTGCCCTTACTCAAAGCAGGGTTAAACCGTTTCTAAGAAACTATAAGACAAAGATCATATGTGACAGCAAGGCTGCGGAAGATGAGGGCACACATTGATTAGATAAAGGGAAAATGACCCCTCAACTATACTACCAACTAATTTATGATGAGCCCTCTGCAAAAGTATTTGCAATACCTGAAGTCAAATGTAAGCGCATATGTATCGAGCTGTGTGACTTACAGCATCATACTGGTTATAATTTAAACATTTTGACGACATTTGACTTAAAAAATCATCCAGCAAGAAAAGACGGCTCAAGATCTGCTCCATTAGAAAACAAAAATCTTCTTAGTTCTGATCTGAGGACATGGCAGCAAGCCTGGAGGAAGATGAGTTCTATGTTATTTTCATTTAATCACATTTTTTTTCAGAAATTTTTTTTGAGGATCTTTTGTGATAGAATAAATGTTTCAGTGATAATAATCAGAAAATTAGAAAGATAATACAATAATCAGATGCAACGTATAGACAAATGCGGGTCAGTAGTTTAGTTATCCGAGTGCCATCTGCTGTAAACAAAATAAAACTGTTGCAGGGGATTTCTCAGATTTTGATGTGTTTTTATGATTACACACCCCTCCTAACAAGCACACAACTCAAGACTTTTAAAGGAATTACACTGTGCCATTTTCCTTGAGATCTTTTTGCGCCGCTATTTCCTTCTTTTTAATTTAGTCACATTTACAAAGCTGCTCTTTGCAATCAAAGCTTAAGCACTGGCAAGAGGGAGCTTAGAACAGATAATTAAAAAGTCTGAGAAAGAGATGGCAGCTTTGAGTACAGAGTGACAGAAAGTGGGATACAAGGTTGTTTTGAACATCAGTGATTCAGGATGGGTGACAAAAGAAAAAAAGACAGGCAAGAGAAAATTTAAAAAAGTGACGCTGAACTGATAAATCTGCTGCTGCCCAAGAAACAATAGGCCTAGATACAAAAATGAACAAAACATTGAGTGTATAGTTTAAAACGATACATTTTTTTTAGAAAAACATTGGAGTAAAATACTCAGGTGATCATTTGATCATTTTTTGATCTACTGCTGCTAAGTTTTATTATATACCTGACAAATTTAATCAGTGGCACTTATGCCACTGATGAAAGAGTTGAGAACACAGATAATCTGAGTGGGAAACAGGAATTTGGATGATCAGGCTTCCAATGCAGTTTTAATTACACAGCATGCTAACTGGAACCATGATTAAGTCCAAGATACTGCTGCTTGAAACATTAAGTCTCTTTAAAACAAAAGAACAGTTAAAATGTAAATACCCTTCATCTGATCACAGACTGCCCTTTAAATGAATGTTACATGCTGCAGTTCTTTTCAGCCCACTGTGGGATCCTCTCCCACAAGCCCACTGCACCATCTAGTGTGTGGAGGAGGGACACAGAATTAAAGATAAAAACTCAAATATATTAATTT